GGAGTGTAGAGCTGAGCAGGGAGAAGAATCTGGAGAGGAGACTGAGAAGGAAGGAAACAGGATGGAGAGCCGGAGGAGACCTGAGAGTCACATGGAGCAGAGTCATGTGAATAAGCGGCTCTTGTTTTTTGGTCCTGGACTTGTTTTTTGGTCCTGAACCCACGCCCACAGACGTGGGTGAGAGACCCTTTGGGAGGTTCACTGTAGCAGCGTTTATCTTGATTTTGATTTTGCTCTTTTCCTCTCAGACTTGTCTGGCCATTTCTGACCCTTTTCTATGGGTCCTGGCCAGAAGGGGCTTTAGTCTTGTGTCTGGCTTTCAAGCCTTGCTTTGGACTAATCCCTTTTGGGTGGACTTTCACCTGTGAAGGGGTGGGTAACTTTGGGTGTTTGATTTGGAAACTATATTCTTTGTCTGACACAAGCTATGCAACATCCATAGTCTGACAGATTCCGGGTAGATCGGGATAAGCTCTGAAAAATCAGACTGTCCACTGCTAACTTATGTTATGACCTCCCTTTTTTGTATAAACATAATATCAAAATATTCTGAGCAACATTCAGTTTACAACTGGATTGTCTTAGCCACACAGGCGGCTGCCTGGTTCAGGCAAGCTGCCCCAGGAGGAGAAATTACTCTGTCTCCTGAGACAAAAGGCAAGCGCCAGGAGAAATAAGACCCCAGGACATAAAAAACTCCTGGGAAGCTTCCTTGGTATCTTTGAATAAAAAATAAACTTCAGATAAGGCTCCCAGGGCATAAGGACTCATGGACAAATTTTAACCTTGACTACACAGGTGTTGTTTGATATACAACTGTACAACTTTCTCTTAATTTACTCCTTTATAAAACAAACACTAACTACTCTCTGCTAGCCTCAAATTACCCATTAGCTCTTCCTTAGACAATCACTGATAACACTGCTAACACAATTTACTACTATCCCAAGACCCTTAACAACCTTTTTCTAACAAGCTCACCCTTTTCCAGACCCCTCTTCCTTTGATGATAACTAGACAGCTGTATATATGATAACTGTCACAAAAATGTATCATTTAGTATACCCTGAATTGTAAACAGAAGAATGCTTTTTCCCTTGTCCTTGAGAATGTTTTATGGAGATATCTCATTAACTTACCCTATGCATTATTACAATTAACTACTTGCTACACAATATAAATAAAGACCTGCTGAAGGAAAAGCAGGAAGACTTGCACCCTATCCTGACTCCCGTGTCTTCCTCGCATCCGTTCCCCTCTCCTCTTTTGGAATATCCGCTCGCCGACGCCTCCCCATCTTAGGGTCCTGACTGTGCTGCCTCCAGACACCTCAAAAGTTGGAGCTAGTCTCCGACATTTGTCTTTTCTGTATTGCACACTAATTGTATTAAAGTTCTTTTCCATTAAAGGTCTTACATGTTTTGATTTGATGCAAGGTGGATGGCAGGTTTGGGGGTTAAAGGGTGCCCCCCTCCCTGCCCTTTAACACCATCTCCTTTCTTCCCTTCCCCCCACCTTTGCTTTTTTTTTTCCCCCACACAATTACTTTTACTTTGCCCATCCTTTTAAATTGTTGAGTAGTACTTCATTGCATGTACCACAGATTCTTTATCCAGTCAACTGGCTCTGTACACAGGTTGGTTCCATGATTTGGTTATTGTGAATAATGCTGCTGTGACCATAGCATCTTTTCATATTGATGTTTTTGTATTCTTCGGATAAATACCCATCAGTGGCATTGATGTCACTTTTGGAGTTGATGGATTTGGAGTGCAGGGTACTTGGGTTCACTCTGGGAAAGGTACTTGGGTTTCACCAGAGCTCCCCTTTTAGCGGCACGCAGTGAGTTCCGTAGGTGAGTTTCTCCATGAAACATAGATGCTAGTTATATTTAAAGAGCAGTTTTATTAAGGAAAAGGATAGAGGAATAAAGGACATTTGCATAGTGACAAGCAGGCAGGAAGAGCTGCCCTGAAAGGGACAGGCTTGCTGAGAGAGGCCTGAATGGTCGCAGGCAGGTGGCCTTAGGAGAGTGGCCTCCGCTGAGGGGCGCCAGTGCCCAGAAGCCCTGGCAGGTACAGGTCACGGGCAGGCCAGAGGATGCTGCCCTGCAGAGGGAAGCACCTGCATAGGCACAGGTGGGCAGAAGATTGCTGCCCCTTGCTGGTGCAGATTGCCCTGATATAGACATCTCTTTGGGAGGGGTTTACTCCCTGTAAGCTTAGGTTTGTTGATTTTGAATAGAATCTAAAAGGGACAGAAGATCCCACAATGGGCTTCATGTCCATATCTTTATCTTTCACCTTTTGGTCTGTGATAGACACCGCCTATAGTAGTTTGCTACCTGCTTAGATCTTATGCTTTGTAGTCTAGCATGTGTGCCTAAGGATTTAGGTTTCTTTTTTTTTTTTTTTTTTTTTTTTTTTTAAATTTATGCATACAGTGTTGGGGTACAGACCAGAGGTACAGGGGTGGTGAGAGTCTTCACCAGAGACAGAGTGGGGACAGGAACAGGTAGATGGATGAAGTACATTGCTGAGGGGGGAGCAGCAGCCGGGTCAGCAGAGGTCTGCCGCATCATGTGAGTCAGCTCCCTGGCCAGGGATTGAACTCCTGCTGCAGTGGTTGGTGATAGGTTGATAGTGCTGAGACTTAACCCTTTGAGCCACTAGGGAGGCCTAGCCCATTAAAAAAAAAAAAGATTAATTTATTTATGCATACAGAACTGGGGTACAGGCCAGAGATGCATGTGGTGAGAGAATTCACCAGAGACAAAGTAGAGAATAGAACAGGGAAATTAATGAAGTAAACTGCTGAGGGGAGCAATGGGAGAGACAGCAGAGGTCTGCTGTGCCAGGGGGTCACCTCCCTGGCGGGGGATGCAACTGCACTGTGAAACAGCCTCATCTAACTTCATAGTGCTGTGCTTTAACCCCTTGCACCACCAGGGAGGGACCAAGCCCATGTTTTTTTATTTCTGGTTATAAGTTATTTTTATTTATTTTTATATATAAGTTTATTTTTACATCATTTTGTGCCTTTTTCCCTCTCAGTTGTAATCCCCGTGGGATTCGCATCACCAAATCACCTGGTGCTATCACCATAGTCCAGTGCACTTTCCTCCCTGCACCATTTTTGATCCCATTCCCCACTCCACCCCCATAAAATGTCTCTGGTATATAGCTGTTCATTATTGTTATTATTTTCTCCCCTGGTCCTTTATGCTCGTGCTATGAGTGAAACCATCTGGTATTTTTCCTTTTCTTTCTGGCTTATTTCACTAAGCATGTTCCCTTCCAGCCCCCTCCATGTTGCTGCAAAAGGCATGTGTTTATCTTTTATTGATTGCTGAGTAATATTCCTTTGTGTCTATGTATCACCTCTTTTTAATCCAGTCATCTACTTTTGGGCATTTGGGTTGATTCCATGTCTTTCCTATTGTAAATAAAGCAGCAATAAACATAAGCCCATTTTTTTTTTAAATGAACATAAGAAAGACTCACATCCCAGACCTCACAAGCCCCTTGTCCCTCTACCTGGAGAGGAGAGCAGGGCTGCCTTACCATGCTTATCATGCTTAGGCACTTAGTGAAGTTTGAATTTTACCCTAACACTGGGATGCTAAGGGAATGCTTTTTTTTTTTTTTTTTGAACAGGGTTGTATCACGGGTGATTTAGAGGTTAAGAAGAACCCTCTCGCTCCTGCATGCACAGAAGGAGCTGTGATGGGACCAAAGAGACAGGAACCACGAGATTATTTTTGGCAGTTTTCTTTGTGAGGATCAGTGGGGACTGGATAGCTATCGCGCCTAGCTGCCCAGTTCAGATCTGGTCGCCTTCCGACTCATCCTGACGTCAACGGAATTGTCGCGGAAAATAGGGCGGGGTTGGTAGCCGCTGACGAGTGATTGGCTGTCCAGGAACAGCATGTTAATTAAATGTCAGTTTGAACCGCTTCGGAAACATTTAAAATATTTAAAGTAGCATTTAAAATGCTTTGTAGCTGTAGTCACGTAAAAGAGCTTTAGAAAATGATATATTTGCAAAGAATCTGCCCAGAGGAAAAACTCACCATTACTGTAATATACATCGGCTTTTTTCACTCCAGAAGGGGCAGGGCGCCTGAGTTAAGACTATACTTTCAGGGATCATTTCTATAGTTCGTTACTAGAGAAGATTCTCTGATCGTGTAGAGCACCGGAAACCACGAGGAGGAGGCGCAGCGTCCTCTCCTGAGCGTGAAGCCGGCTCTGGGTGTCGCTTGTGCGACTGCTCTTTGCCATTGATGATCGTTCTTCTCTTCCTCTGGGAGAGCTAGAGGGAGAGGACGCAATCTGAGTGGTTTTCGCTTTTTCATTGTAAAGATAGAGACTTTTACTTTTCCTTAGGGGCAGCTAGAGTAATGCTTTTGCTTTAGTGTTGCCCTTGTGTAACTAAGTATCCTCTAAGCAGTGGAGTTGCTGGCCTTTCAGTGCAGAAGTCCAGGTTTCTGCTCACCAGAGACTGGGGAACAAGACAGGTAGTTTATCAGGTACACTGCTGAGGGGAGCAGCAGCAGGGGAAGAGACAGGTCTGCTGGGCCATGTGCAGGGCTTCGCCCCTAGCCCAGGCAGTTCTGTGGAAGGCCTCCCACCTGAAACACGCAGGCCTCTCAGCAAAGCTGGATTCTCTGTTCTGTCCCTGTGCCTAGTAAACCTGCTCTTTAAATATAACTAATATCTGTCTGTGGAGCGACTGGGTGCTCTTGAGAGGGGAGCTCCCGTGAAGCCATCCCAGAGTGAACCCAAGGACCCCACATGCCAAATTCATCTCCATAAACTACAGCACTGAGACTTAACCTCTGTGCCACCAAGGAGGACCCATTCAACTTTCCCTTTTTTAAAAAAGAATTGGCAGTAGTGGTACATGAAGGTACTATACAGTTCTCTCTCTCCCCTACATCCCTGCCCCCAGCATTGTGTCATTGTTTCCTGATAGTTGCCTTTGTATTTGCTTTGCAGGAATTTATGTTGATGCAGTTAACTCCCTGGGCCAGACACCACTTTTCATTGCATCATTGTTAGGCCTTATGAAATTAGTTGATGTTCTGGTGGATTATGGATCAGATCCAAATCAGTAAGTATGTTAACATCTGGAAAATAGGTGTTATGCCCCTAAAATGAGTTGGGAAGTTAAAGAAAACTTTTAAAAAATATTTATTTGTTTATTATAAATTCCAGTTTGTTTAGATTTTGTTAAGACTTCTCTTTAAGATTTATTTATGCATACAGAACTGGGGTACAAGCCAGAGTTGCAGGGTCAGTGAGAGGATTCATCAGAGACAGAGTGGGGAGCAGAACAGGCACATTGATGAAGTACACTGCTGAGGGAGCAGCAGGCAGGTCAGGAGAGGTCTGCCGCGGCATGTGGTCACCTCCGGGGCTGGGATTGAACTAGCAGTTGCAGCTGGCTTGTAGTGCTGCGTCCTACCCACTGTGATGGGCCGGGGAGGGCGGAAAGAAAACTTTTAGGTAAAATAAAAAAAAGGATGATTTGAGTATTTGGAAACTACTTTGACAAGTAGTTTCAAAATAATTTCGAATTAGCAAAGAACCTTTGCTAATTTTTATCAGTTAAATATAGTTGTATATATATATATGTATATGTTGAAATGTAACTGCTGGAAATTTTTTTCTAAGCAGTTTTACTAGGCCCAGTGAAATGATTAAGTGAAACTAATTAATGACTTTCTACTTCTAGGTTCTAGTTTGTATGATCAGCTTACATAATTTAGCATATTCTACAACTAAGTTTTTTGTTCACAACCACTTTTTCCACCAACTAATATACTTGGCATAGCTTTCTCATGATGACTTTTGTTTTGTAGTTGTTTAAGAGAATCTTGAGTTTAATAAATTGCCCACATTTTAATATGGAATAGTAACATAATATCATGAATCAGTGTGGTGCTTTTCCTTTTCCAAGGCAGGACCTAGCTTATAAGAGTTTTACAATGACCTCCTTGACAGTGAGGGGAGAGCAGGTACTTTTATAGGTCCCAATGGACAGAACCAGAAATGAACTTTGAAGCATTACATGATTCCAGCAGATTTCCAAAGAGATCCGAGAATATGAACAATCATAAGAGCCATAAAATAGCTTTCCTATTTTACATAAGTATCTTCCTGTTAAAATACTTTTTAAAGAGCCCTATTGATGTTGGAAGGGTTGCTTTTATAGTGGGAGAAAACTTGGAAGGTTGGACAAATAAGAGGGAAAAAAAATCAATGAGTGAGAAAAACTCTATAAGGCAGAAATAATACAGTAAATGTTTTGCTGTGTTCTGTATTTTTTAAAGACTCATACATGTTTCTGTCCTTACTATATTAATGTTTATTAAGGAACTGGGGTCCAGAAAGTTGGCCCATAGTGCTGCTGTCTGTTAATGGCAGAACGAGGACATAGCACAGCCTCTGAAGAACCCTTTCAAAAGGGTCTAAAACCCTCGTGTCGGGCAGTTGGGAAAAGACAAAGTCAGAGGGAGAAGGACTAACCCTGTTGCTTTTTATTTTGTGACTGGAATGTTTTCACATGACTGAAATTCCCTTCCATCAAGGGAAATTTCTGGGAGGAGGTTGTATTTGTGAGTGTTTGGTGGAAATGTTCTGCTAATCTGTGCCTGTTGGGGTCATAGAATTGGATGCTCAGAGGGTCCAGTGGGACAGTGGGCACAGACGACACTGGCCCTGTCTAAAGCGGGTCGACATCTGTTGCTGCTATACAGGACAGTAAGCCAGGGAGGCCAGATTTTACAAATTTTTTTTTTTATAATTTTTTTTTTAAGATTTATTTATTTGTGCATACAAACTGGGGTACAGGCCAGAGGCTCAGGGGAGGTGAGAGGCTTCACCAGAGACAGAGTAGGGAGCAGAACAGGCAGACCGAGGAAGTACACTGCTGAGGGGAGCAGCGGGCGGGTCAGGAGAGGTCTGCCACACCATGTGGTCACCTCCGGGGCAGGCGGGAATCGAACTCATGCGGAAGTGGCTTTAGATTCTCAGTGCAGTGCTTTAACCCGCTGCACCACCAGGGAGGGCCCAGATTTTACAAATTTCTAAGAGGCTGGAAGTCCCAATTTTTAATGCAAAATCTCCCAAATATTAACTATTGTTTACTATATTTTTTTAAAAGATTTTATTCATTCATACAGAACTGGGGTACAGGCCAGAGATGTGGAAGGTGAGAGGATTCACCAGAGATAGAGCAGGGAGCAGAGCAGGCAGATCGACGAAGTACACAGCCAAGGGGAGCAGCAGGTGAGACAGGAGAGGTCTGCAGCACCATATGGGTCACCTCCCTGCCTGGGGATCGAACTTGTGCTGGAGGGGCTGCCAATAACTTCAGAGTGCTGAGACAACCCCTTGCACCACCAGGGAGGCCTATTTTTGACTCTTTTTTAAAACATTATGCAGAAAACAAATAAAACATGCCTCCAAATTGCCAAATATGTCTGATACTCCTTGATCTGAATTCCCTTGGAAGCTTTAGTTAGATACAGAAAACATTCCATTCTTCTTTAGCATTCATGAGAAGTGAAACTAGTGATTTCTCTCACTCCTGCCCCCTGCCCCCACAACTTTCTGTTTGTGGAAGGATGATGAGAAAGTCTGTAAAACATACAAATTTGTTTTTCCTACTCATGCTGAACTGCCCAAAGACAATTCACCCTAAGACAGCCCAAACGCTGAGTGCAGGCTGGCTCCCATAGAACCAGCCTCCTGGGCATCTCCTGGGAACTTGCAAAAAGTATTTGTTCCTGGGTCCTACAGGTGAAGATTATAAATCAGTCTTGGGTATAGTCTGAGAATGTGTGTAAATAACTCATAGATCAATGGCTCATTAATTAAAGTATGCTGCACCCTTGTATTGAAGTAGTTACACAGCTGCTCTAAAAAATTGAGGTGGCTTGTATTTTCTCATATTGATATATTCCCAAGATAGATTGTTCATTGAAAAAGAATTAATAGAGGGCCTCCCTGGTGGTGCAGCAGGTTAAAGTGCAGCACTATGAAGCTATCCACAGCCACTGCAGCACGAATTTGATTCCTAGCCGGGGAGGTGACCCACAAAGCGCAGCAGACCTCTCCCGACCCACCTGCTGCTCCCCTCAGCAGTGTATTTCAGTACACAGTAAGAGGGAGGATCTGCATCCTCTTACTTCCTCTCTACCCCCTGCACCTCTTCCTGTACCCCAGCTCTTGTATGTGTAAATAAATAAATTGTGAAAAAAAAATAAAAATAGAGATAGGACAGTTGATGTAGCATATTCTTATTCTTACTTGAATATGAATAGGAAATTTCTGGAAGCATTCAGCAGTATAGTATGTAAGTGTTGTTACCTCTGAGCAAGAGAACTGGAGGTCTGGAGTTTGGAATTTTTTTTGTTTTCATCTGTCTTCCTCCTCTTTTTTGGTTTGTTTTAAAGATTTATTTATATATACAGAACTGGGGTACAGGCCAGAGGTGTGGGGTGTGAGAGGATTCACCAGAGACAGAGTGGGGAGCAGAATAGGTAGATTGAGCGAATACACTGCTGGGGCAGGTCAGGAGAGGTCTGCTGCCCCATGTGCGTCACTGCTCAGCCCAGATGGAGCTCATGCAGGAGCGGCTGCTGGTAGCTTCCTAGTGCTGTGCCCTTTTAACCCATTGTGCCACCAGGGAGGGCCCTTATTTTTTAATTTCTCCTTCCCCTTCGTGCCCCCCCCCCTTTTTCATTAAAAGTAAAGTGCTCTGGTGATGCTGATGTGCAGCTAGGTTACATGTCACACCCCACTTCACCCTAGACCCGCCCCCCACCCCACAAGGGCCATCCCTTCTTCTTTCAGTTTGTATAATTCATTTTTTCTGAGTTGGAGCTCCTTGACCAGGTTGTTCTGAAGTGCCTGCGGGCTTCTCCCATCCAGTTTGGGAGATAGTGACAGTCCAATGTAAGAGAGATGGTCTCTGCTTAGACTGAGTTTCACCAGCCTGACTGCAGGGCACTGCAGCCTTACAGAAATTGTTTCAGGACTTCCAGTGTGAGGGGCAGGGGGCAAAGAACACCAGATTTGGAAGAAGACCCTTCTCTGGGTTTGAATCCCAACCATGCCCTCTACATTGGAAGGTCACGGCCTGGAATGGTGGGCATAGGAAGGGTGTGCGCATGGCTGCTGTTGGCACAGACTAGGGCCTCCTGGGAGCTCTGGCCCTCATCACTGGGGATTGTCTTTGTAGAAAGAGCCTGTCTTACCTATTGCGTTTGCTCCGCGGGAGGCAGGAGTTTTGCTGTGGATGCTCACTGTGAATTGTCCCCCTAGCCGCTGCTTTGACGGCAGCACCCCAGTACATGCGGCAGCGTTTTCAGGCAACCAGTGGATCCTCAGCAAACTGCTGGATGCAGGGGGAGACCTTCGACTCCATGACGAGAAGGGTCGAAACCCACAGACCTGGGCCCTGGCGGCAGGGAAGGAGCGTGGCACTGCGGTAAGGGAGCTGCCGGGCAGCCACACGCAGGCTGGGCCCGGGACTGGGAGTAGGAGCCCCGGGCAGCAGGACTCACCGTGGCCTTGCTGCTGGCCGGGACACAGGAGCCTTGGGCAGGTCTGCTGAGCCTCTAGCGGGGAAGGAAACCAGTGGTGATTCTGCACGACCCCTATCTAGCAGTCCTGCCACCTTTAATAAGGCATGGTAAATTACGCTACATACCTGTTCTGCAGCCCTCTCAGGTAGGCACTGTTGTTGTCCCATGTTGCAAAGGGCATCTGAGGAAAACAGGCTCGCTGACATTAAGTGCCTGAAGCCACACATGGCAGATGTGAAGCATTCAGACGAGTACTAAAGAACTTAAGGGGAGCGCCAGGCTGTGTCCAGCGCTGGGCCATGGGAGGGAGCCACGGGCAGAGTCCCCGCCTTCCCTTGCCTCCCTTTGCTCATTGCCCTTGGGCCTTAGATAAGTAATTTCTCACTCCTGCCTCGGTTTCCTCCTCTGTCTTATTGTCGAGTCCTTTCCATACCTTTGGGCCCTTCCATTCTAGAGGTCCCTGGTGGGCCCCTCCCTCCGCCCTGGGCCTCTGGGGCTGTGCGTGCCCTGAGCTCGTGGCTGTGTTGCAGACGGTGGAGTTCATGCAGCGCTGTGCCTCGCACATGCAGGCCATCATCCAGGGCTCCTCCTATGACCTCCTCAAGAAGATCGACTCCCCTCAGCGGCTCGTCAGCAGCCTTCCCCGATTTGGGGGCCTCATGCCGGGGTGAGTCTGACTTGAGCCAGTCAGGGTGCTTTGCATCACTCCAGTCTTCCTGGGGGGAGTCCTGCATCTCCACCCTGGGCCTCACCGGTTGCATCTAGCCCAGCACTGGAGGGAAGGGGTGGAGGGGTCATTTCCCCACCTCAAGAATGCGGGCAGGCACCGTGTGAACAGCCCTGTGCTTAGCAGAAAGAGCTTTCCAGGTCTGGGAGTCCCAGCAGAAAAGCCTTTCCCCTCAGGGCAGCTGGCCAGCATTTTGTCAGCTCCCAAACTGGAAAGTTTGTTTCTTTATTATTAAGCTTGCAAAAGACCACAGGCACTTAATTTAGGCCCCTTGGCCTTTGTGAGCGGGTCTGAGAGACTAGCTGGGAGGACAGCCCTCCTCCTGGTCTCAGCTCAGGACAGGGAGGGGGGCCCAGGTTTCTCCACACTCAGGGACCAGTGGGAGCTTCATTGACCTTGTGTCTCTATATTAGGGAGTCTTTCCAGGTTGGTGTCCTCTGCTGGCATCTTCTTTGGTAGCCCAAGAGCTGCCCTTGTCACGGTCTCAGTCCTGGTTTCCCCCCAATGACTCTGAGGCCACTGGCTTCTGGCTTCTCATACAGCACGAGTCACAGTCACTCCTAAAGGCTTTCCCTGGCTTTGCACATAGCACCCAGAACGACCTTTTAACAAACGGAAATCGGGTTGTGCCCCTTTCCCTGCCATAGGCCTTCAGGCTTCCCAGGGCTGTTGGGGTAAACTCCCTAACTCCTCACCCACCCCCTCACCTCCTGTGCTGACCTGCCTCTTGAAGGGGAGTCCCCTGTTCAGAGGACAACTGGCCTGTCAGTTTGTAAAGGTCTTATTTATATGGGATCTTGTTGCATTTGTCCAGTTAGACCATGGAGAGAGCGTGCCGAGAGGCGGGGCAGAGTCTGTTCCGTTTGTCACCACCAGCGCTTCACTGCCGGTGTGGGGTAGAGGCCGGGGCAAGGCCGGGGGTCCTGGGCCAGCCTGAAAGGAGAGCCCACGTGTGGGCAGACTAGCGGTCCTCTATTTTAGATACAGCATCTATTGCTCTTACCACAGTGCTCAATGGCACGTCCGCTGGAACGCCCCCCTCTGACCCATGGGAGCCTTTGGAATAAGGAGGGCTCTCAGATCTGTGAGTGGTGCTGCGTCAGATGAGGACCCCAGCGCACACGTCTACGTAGAACCTGTTCAGGGAAATGCAAACAAGCGTGCCGCACTGAGACAAGCTCATAGTTGGATGGTTGTAGCTGGTCAGTGTCTGTCTTGCTCTCCTGCACCCAGCTGAGTTTTGTCACACAGACGTGGCCTGAGACATTTAGATAAAAGAGCAAGAACTGTCATAGCTCTGAACTTGTTGTCGGGTCCCACAGCCAGGGACTCCCCGTGGCCGGGGTGGGGACCCCGCACATGGCGCCCCCTCCCTCCCAGCAGCTCTGAACGAGACCTGGGGTGACAGTGATGTGCCTTCTCTCGGGTTGTGAGGCTGGACATAGGCCTTGTTCTAGAGGTGGCTGAGGACTGTGTCCATGCGGATGAGGATGACCGCAGCCATGTCCTCTGCACCCAGTGGCTTCGAGAGTGAAAGGGAAGCTATTAGTAATGATGCTGGGACACCAGTGCAAAATGGGCATTTGGGGACTCACCCAAACTGGAGTCTTCACTCACACGGCCCTTTGTGTGCAGTGCGGCGGGGACGGCTGGGCCCTGCTGACTAGCCAGGGAGACAGGAGCCTCAGAGTATGTCCAGGAGCAGAACTGGAGTGCTGGTATATGTCCACAACCAGTGGGCACAGGGGGCGGGCACCCTGTTTATTTACTGAGGAAGGGGGGGTGGCTCAAGCGGCCAGTTAGCCTGGCACCTACTGCACTCAAGGCACTATGCCGCCTCCTCGGAGCTGAAGAAATGCAGGCCACTGCCACTCCTGTCAGGGCCCCTGCAGGGGCCCGGTGTGGCCAGCTGGCACGAGCGAGCAGCGCCAAGATCTAGTCCCTATGTTGCACCGTGGCCCAGACCGGCACGTTCCTGCCCTGGACTCCATTTTCCCCATTGGCAAAATGAGCAGGTTAGACAAGACAGGCTTTATGAATCTTTCTTTTTTCTTTTTAAAAAGATTTATTTATTTATGCATACAGAACTGGGGTCCACCCAGAGGTATAGTGGCGGTGAGAGAATTCACCAGAGACAGAGTGGGGAGCAGACCAGGCAGATGGATGGAGTACACTGCTGAGGGGAGCAGCGGGCGGGTCAGGAGAGTTCTGCCGCCATGTGGGTCACCTCTGGGGCCGGGGATTGAACTAGCACTGAAGTGGCCATGACCAGCTGCGTCCCACTGCACCACCAGGGAGGGCCTGACTTTATGATTCTTTCTAAATTGGCCCGTTTGCATTTGCTGTCAATTGCTCATACCCTCGTACCCTACCCTCAAATGTAGTAGATTTCAGACAATTTTATCTCACTTATATTCTGTGGGTCAGGGATCAGGGAGTGAATGACTTAGCTGGATGGCTGACTGGTTCTGGCTCAGGGGTTTTCATGAATTGTCAGATGTCAGCTGGAGCTGCATCATCTGAAGGCCTGACTGGGGCTGGCAGCTCTAGTCCTAAAATGAGATGCTCACGTTCTTTACATGAGGCGTTGACGGCCTGCTAGGTATCAGGCCTCTCCATCGGGAGGCTTGAATGTCCTCGCGGTGTTCCCCCAGAGCAAGTGATGGGAGGGAGGTCAGGGCCAGAGCCCAGGTGACCTGCCTTGGAAGTCACTCCCTGTTGTTTCTGCCATATTCTCTCACCTGTGAGGGGCTACCTAGGGCTGAGTGCAGGAAGTGGGAATCCCAAGCCCGTCTCAGAGCTGACTATTCCATCATCAGTAGGGCCGTGGTCAAAGGTCAGGCAGTAAAGGCAAAACCACGCCCACATCATGAAAACTTGGTTCAGCGTTGTTCCGCTGGATGTGGGTGGTTGATCTTTATTTTTTCCCCCCTCCTCCATTCAAATATTTCTAGAAGCCCTAATGGTTCTCCTAGTCGACTGCTTAAAGCTGGAATCATTTCTGCCCGAAACATCTACAGCTTCGGCTTTGGGAAGGTAAGAGGTTGCCCTGGGACCAGCACCAGGGAGTCCTCTGGCCCCACCTCTGGCCCCCGTGTGCCCCACAGCCTTGTCAAACTCCTCCTGCCTCTCCAGAGTGGTTTCCCTCCTGCCCTTCTTTACCTGCTTTACAGTGTTCCTGTCATTACTAGAAACTGAAGAAAACCCTGCAGGGTTCTCTTGAGTAACCTTGAGCTAGATTTTGGGCATTTAGAAAATGACCCTTTAATTCCCAAGGAATGCACTCGATATGTTCTCACTGGAGAGAGGCAGAGAGCTGTGCTGACCCGGGTCTTGTTTGTGGTTGACTTTGTCCTCCAGGCTTACACTGTTGGAATGCATTTCAGGAAATGAAATTTTAAACTGAGAAATGCTTGGGGGAAAATACTTTCTCTGGGTCTTCTATTCTGCCCATCAAAGAGAGAGCATGGGGGTTGTTACTGGCTGAGCCAGTAGCTGAACCCACCCTGCGCTTGGGGTGAGGGCACTGGAGAGAGGCAAAGCTGGGGGGCCAGGAGAGGCCCCTGGGTCCTAGCCAGGCTTTAGACAAGTGTCTGACCTCTTTCTGTGAACCTCAGTTTCCTCCCTAGTAAAGGGAAATATTACAACCTTGTAGATTTAGAAGCCTAAGACACAATTACTCTGCTGTAACGGTAGAGGGGTATTCAGAAAGTTGGCAAACAGCAGCTGCCATTATCTTTAGTTTAGTTGGCTGATAAAATTCCAGAGAGTACTTTTCCTCTCTCTCCCCACAATTTGAAGCTGTGCTTTTTTGCTTTCAGTTTTATCTCACAGGGGGAACACAGCTCGCCTATCTGGGATCCCTTCCCGTGATTGGAGAAAAGGAGGTGATCCAAGCGGACGACGAGCCCACCTTCTCTTTTTTCAGTGGCCCCTACATGGTCATGACCAAGTAAGTGGAAGTGGCCGGTGGAGGGTCTGATTTTGTCCCACAGGAGGAATGGGCTTCGTGTGTGTGCGTGTGGGGGGGCTCCTGTGCAAACACCTGGAAACACGGAAGTTTGCGTGTTTACGTCAGGGCGTCTCAACTTTGACACCACTGCCTGGGTGGGGACCGCCGGTGTGTAGTGGGATGTTTGGGGATGCCCGGCCCTACCTACCAGATGTCAGTGGCAGCCCCCAGAGCCCCTTTCCGCTTGCAGCTGTGACTGTGCGACCTCAGCTGTCTGCAAACATTGCCAAAGCTCTGACAGTGTCATAACCTCCACTTTTTTGAGAGTTAGAAGCAGCTCAGCGGTTACTGTGTGACCTCTGGTGCCGCCAGAAGGTCCTGCGGCCTCCGCTGAAGTTGGATCAGCATCAACAGTGACTCCTCAGCTCAGTGCTACAGAGGCTGCAATACCAGGAGCTGGCGGTGGCAAAAGCCCCTGGGTGTTCTCAGTCTCCCGAGACTTCACCCCCGTGGAATCACTGGGAGTCATTCCCCACAAGGCTCTTAACTTCCCTGAGCCCAGAGCTCCTTCCCTGCTTAGGAGAGACTTCTCAGGGAGCCCTGCCAGCTACGCCTCTCATTTCCCTGCCCGTCCCACAGATTTGTTTTCTCTTGTCCATCCAAGTTACAGCCTCCCTCTCCAGACCGGCCCCTAAGTGGCTTCTCATTCCCTGGACAGCCCCTTCCAGTGCTCTCAGTGCCGTTGTATTCTAGAGTATGAGCTTGATGCTGTGATTCCCTCCTCTGCCCACCAGTGAGTTCCTGCCACGTACTCTGACCGGCTGGGTGCTTTAGGATGTTGGGGAGGGAGAGGGAGGACCTGCTGGTACCAGGGTTTTTACAGTCTGTGGGAACTCCACTTCTCTGGTCTGTGGCTGGGAGAATGCCTCACGTAAGTGACTGCTCACGTGCTTCTGTTTACACTGTGCTACCCACGCAGCCTGGTGTGGAATGGGAGCAGGGTCACGGTGAAGGAGCTGAATCTCCCTGCGCACCCACACTGCAGCAGGCTGCGGCTGGCCGACCTGTTAATTGCTGAGCAGGAGCACAGCAGGTGAGAAGGGCTCCCCGACCCCCCGCCACCCCACAGAGCTGGGTTCAGGGCTGTGCAGGCTGTGCCTGGAAGGTGAGATTAGCGCCCCTCAGCCTCTGCAAACGTTTTCTGGTGGTTCGCTAATTTGACTCCTGTTGGCTGCCAAGAAAGAGAAAAAGGAATGAATGAACAGCTTGAGGAGTAGGGAAAGGGGTGGTGAGGGTCTCCACTCTGTCAACAGATTGACTCTCTATAACCCTGTCTCTGGACGGTCCAGCCTGCAGGCCTGGCTGGCTCTCTGGCTCCAGCCCCGAGACCTGCCCCATTTTCAGCTGTGGGCCCATCCTGGAGAGAGTCCTTATAGAGTGTGAATATGTAAATCTATGCATCTGAGGAGTCATGACTCAGCCATTGAGGACACACCATGTGTCTCAGAACCTAGGTTTCCTCAGCTCTTACTGGAGTAGGATCTCAGTTCGTGGTTTCATTTATTTTTATTTTTATTTTTATTTTTATCTTGTGCATACAGAACTGGGGTACAAGCCAGAGGTGCAGGGGTGGTAAGAGGATTCATCAGAAACAGAGTAGGGGGCAGAGCAGGCAGATGGACTGAAATACACTGCTGAGGGGAACAGTAGGAGACCCAGGAGAGGTCTGCCGTGCCATGTGGGTCACCTCCCTGGCTGGGGATTGAACTCGTGTAGCAGTGGCTGCAGATTGCTTCATAGTGCTGAGACTTGCGCCACCAGGGAGGGCCCTCAATTTATGGTTTCAGATCAGAGCTACTAAGGTCTTAGAATGGACTCAGGGTCCCGAGATGGCTGCTCAGCTCTTACAGAGCTGTGTCCAAAGCCAAACCCTTCCTTTTGGGGGGAAATTAGATTAAGGGGACCCTAGGAGGCTAGAAGCACTAATAGACACAGCAGAGAGCTTGCCGTGAGACTTCCAGGGGGCATATGACCTGGGGGCAAGTTCCTGCCCTCCTCCTGATGTAGTTTCCTCATGAGCACCATCTTGTTTCTGTAGGTGCTTGTTAGGGTATAGGTGGTGTGTGCAATAAACATGTCTTGCTCAGTAGCTCCAGGCAGCTCTATCAATGACACTAAACTTTTAGGGTCTGATCAGTGAGCGACCACAGATTCTACCAACAGACTCCCCCGTCCCCTTCCTGTTTCCTTAGGAAAGTATTGCATGAGAATGACAGTGTATTGCATGAGAATGCCGTGTTTGGAAGATGTTCAAGGGGCTTAGAAGACTTGGCTCCCATTTGTCCATCGTGTCCTTCCTTAAGTCCAGCCTAAGGCCTCTTTGCTTTTGCAGCAAGTTGCGGCACCCCCACCTGCTGCAGCTCATGGCCGTGTGCCTGTCCCAGGACCTGGAGAAGACCCGTCTTGTGTACGAGCGCGTCACCGTGGGCACGCTGTTCAGCGTCCTCCATGAGCGGGTAGGTGGCTGCCTCCCTGATTTTCTCCTCCTGTTCTCCTGTTTGAGGGCAGGGAGCAAGGGGCACCGCTGAACCCCCAAATCTGCCTGCTCTAAATAGGTTCTGCCATCTGTTACATCAAGACAAGACTTGCAAGACCTTTAATGGAAAGGAACTTTAATACACTCAGTGTGCAATACAGAAAAGACAAAGAATATAGTTTCTAAATCAGACACCCAACGTTACCAATCCCCTCCCGGGCAAAAGTCCACCCAAAAGGGATTTGCCCAAAGCAAGGCCTGAAAGCTGCCACAAGTCTAAAGCACCTGACCCATAGAAAATGGTCAGAATGGCCAGACAAGTCTGGGAGGAAAAGAGCAAAATCAGAGTCAATACAAACGCTGCCATAGTGAGCCTCCTCCACACAGGTCTCTCTCCCACGTCATTTCACCCAGCCCAGGCCCAAGAGGCAAGCGCAGTTTCCTCTCATGTCTCTCTGCTCCATGTGGCCCTCTCAGGCCTTCCTTCCTCTCCAGATTCCTCTGTTCTGCTCAGCCCCACCCTCCTTCTGGGTAGGGCAGGGAACCTGGAACCTCCCTTTCTCCTGGGTACCCCTGTTACACTCCCTCCCTCACCCCCTGCCTCTCCCAGCCCCACGGGGAGCGCCCCCTTTTGTGCCTGCTGGGAAGCTGGCTCTTTGTCCTTTCCCCATGGGGCTACAAGACAGGCCATTTAGGTTGATGAGCACGTGGGCTGGCAGAGCTGGGCTGCTGCCTTAGTGCCAGCCCTGCTGCTTCATCAGATCTCTCATTGCTCCGCCAACACCTCTCGCTAACTGTGGTCGAATAGGCACTGGCCTTATTTCCCTGTTTTCACTTTTGCTGTGCTGGATCTTTGCCGTGGCGAGAGGTTTATGTCTATATTCTTTTCAGTCCCTGGGCCCTTTTCAGATTTCCTCGGGGGAGTAAACAGCTTCTCTGCCTGAGACAGGTACTCTGAGTGCAGCTTCAGAACCATCTCCCCAAATTGTTTTTTTTTTTTTCCTTCTTGACTTTGTTCTGCCAACTCTGGGCAGGGGTGGGAAGATCTTCCAGAAAGAGCCCTTCCCCAAATGGCTAAGGCCTTCCTATTTTTCCTTTCCTTTCTTTTCCTTGGGTGAAGGCATTATGTTAAACCGCCATTTCTCTGGCACTGACTTGAAGCAGCCAGGGGTGTTGGCTGAGTGTCTCCCTGTTGGGATGTCCTTCCTCGGTGAGCTGCCTGGGGTAGGGGCTCACTGGTTCTTTAAATCTCCAGGCTCTCCCTGCAGCACAGGATTGGAGGAGGTGGGGGAAGGCTCTTTCTCCCTACTTTCTGTGGCTTGAATTAATTCAGCTGATGGAAAGAAGCTCAGGTCTGGACCCCAAAGCTTGGGTCAGTGAGACCTAACACCAGCTACTTAGCCTCTTTGAGTTCTAGGTTCCTCACTTGTAAGACCAGGACACTATCTAGCTGCGAGTATAATGGAAAAGACAGAGTAACAGAACATTCTAAGATGTCCTTGCTGTTCCCTTCTGCTCCTGCTCCCTTTCCTGTCTCACTTGCAGCGGGCCCAGTTCCCCGTGCTGCACATGGAGGCGATCGTGCACCTCCTGCTCCAGGTCTCAGATGCCCTGAGATACCTGCATTCCCGGGGGTTTATCCACCGCTCCCTCAGCTCGTACGCCGTCCACATCGTCTCCACAGGGGAAGCGAGACTGACCAACCTGGAGTACATGATGGAAAGGTGGGTGCAACCTCCATTTGACTTCTAGGGAGTGTCTCCCTGGGTGCCTTTGCTGCAGAGAGACTGATCCGACAGGATACTCCCATGGCTGGCTGAAGAGCCTGCTGATGGGGAAGTGCTCTCCCAAGTGCCTCGCCCTGTTGGCCAACATTAGAGGATTTGGCACAAGTTACTTCTGTTTGGAATATTCTCATTTTGATAAATTTTTAACAAGCAAGAGTCCACATGAACTAATGTGTATGAATGCTTTTATATACTCTTATTATGTACTTTGCTCTCTATGTTAGAAGCTCTGTGAGAGCAGGTTTTTTGTTTTATCTGTTGCTGTATCTCAGATGTCTACAACAGGTCTTCATATAGTGGTGCTCAGCCCATGTTTTTTTCTCTAAAGATTTATTTATGCACACAGGAGCTGTGGTGTATGACAGAGGTATGGGGAGGGGGTGGGGGTGTGAGATGATTCATCAGAGACTAGAGTGGAGAGCAGGACTGATGGATCTACTGAAATACACAGCTGAGGGGAGCCGTGGGCGAGACAGGAGCCAGGGGATCAGCTCCCTGGCCAGGGATCAAACTCATGTTGCAGTGGTTGGCCATAGCTTGAGAGTGCCGAGACTTAAGCCCTGACACCACCAGGGAGGCCCAAGCCCATATATTTTTCAATGAACAAAAAGGAAAGACTCACATCTCAGATCTCACGCACATGCCCCTTGTCCTTCTACCTGGAGAGGAGGCAGGGCTTTTCCTGGTCATGCTGGGGCTGGAGGCACTTAGTGAAGTTTGAATTTTCCCTAAGGACACTGGGATGCTAAGGGAAGGCTTTTTTCTTTTAAGCAGGATTGTGTGATGGGTAGTTAAGAGCTTAAGAAGAACCCTCTGGCTCCTGCATGCACAGAAGGGGCTGTAATGGGATGGGAGAGGCAGGAACTGTGGGACCATGATTGGCAGTTTTCTTTGTGAGGACCAGTGGGGACTGGATGGCTATTGCCAGCCCAGCTGCTCAGTTCAGATCTGGTCCCTTCTCCATACCAGTGGCTCCCACTGCTTACAAGGTTAAGTCTAGATGCTTTGCAGGGTGAGGAAGGAGACCACTGTGTCACTTCCCACTCCTTGCCTTCCTGAAGCCACTTTTTTTTTGACCTAAGACCTTATTTGTGCCATGAACCTTAGTAATTTTATTCTAAGAAAGAGTAAAAGTAACTTTATTTGAAAAGATTTTAATAGCCAAATATCTACATGTGGCATTTCAACAATCACAAAAGATTCCTCTGTTCTTTTATCAGGGTTACAACCTCTCTCCACAAACATAACAGTTGATAATTCTCACTAAAGATTTACAATCATTTGATGTCATCCAACCTGCACAACAGTGCTAGTTTACAGGATATGGAAACTGAGCACCAGAGATTAAGTAAAGCCAAGATTGAAGCCACTTTTTAAAAAAAATAATATAATAGTTTATTTTTACATCATTTTGTGCATTTTTCCATCCCTGAAGCCACTTTTTTTTTTATTAAAAAGTTTATTTTTACATCATTTTTCACATTTTTTTTTTTCATCTCAATTGTAATCCCCACGGGTTTCCCATCACCAAATCACCCTGTGCCACCACCATAGTCCCGTGCATTTCCCTCCCTTCCCCCCCCCCCGTTTTTGATCCCATTCCCCACTCCACCCCCACATAATGTCTCTGGTCTATGGTTGTTCATTATTTTTGTTATTTTCTCGCCTGGTCCATTATACTCCTGCTATGAGTGAAACCATCCGGTATTTTTCTTTCTCTTTCTGGCTTATCTCACTAAGCATGATCTTTTCCAGCTCCATCCAAGTTGCTGCAAAAGACATGTGTTTCTCTTTTTTGGTTGCTGAGTAATATTCCATTGTATATATGTACCACATCTTTCTAATCTAGTCATCTACTTTTGGGCATTTGGGCTGCTTCCATGTTTTTCCAATTGTAAATAAAGCAGCAATAAACATGGGGGTACAAGTATCTTTTTCAATCAGTGTTTTTGTGTCTTTTGGGTAGATACCTAGGAGTGGGATTGCTGGGTCATAGGGAAGCTCCATGTTTAGCAGTTTGAGGAACCTCCAAACAGTTTTCCATAGTGGTTGTACTAGTTTGCATTCCCACCAGCAATGCAGGAGAGTTCCTTTTTCTCCACATCCTCGCCAACATTTGTTGTTGCTAGTTGTTTGAAGATGTGCCATTCTCACTGGGGTGAGGTGGTATCTCATTGTGGTTTTAATTTGCATCTCCCTTATTACGAGTGATGTTGAACATTTTTTCATATGCCTGTTGGCCATCTGCATTTCCTCTTTGGAGAAGTGTCTTTTTAGCTCTACTGCCCATTTTTTGATGGGGTTGTTTACTTCATTTTTGTTGAGTTTCATCAGTTCTCCGTATATTTTTGTGATCAGCCCTTTATCGCTACTTTTGTGTGAGAAAATGTTTTCCCAATTAGTGATCTTTCTGTTTGTTTTTAGTAATGTCTCTTTTGCTGTACAGAAGCTCTTTAACTTGATATAGTCCCATCTATTTATCTTTGCCTTCACTATTGTGGCGTTGGGTGCCTGAAGCCACTTTTTAAAAATAATATAATAGTTTATTTTTACATCATTTTGTACATTTTTTTTTCCATCTCAATTGTGGGTTTTACCCTGAAGCCACTTTTAATGCATATCACTTCACTGCACTACCCTCCACATTTAGAATATTCAGAACTCACCCTTCAGATGCAATCTCCCACCATACCCCTCGAAGCCTGGGCTAAAGTCCGATCCCCAGAATGTTCTGTCTGTCCCTGGCTTCCTGTGAAACGTGTGGACCTTCCACCTGGTGAGCTCTGAGAGGTCAGAGACCATGATCGTCTCTCTTCAGTACCCAGTTCTGGTGCTCAGTAAACATTTGTTAAGTGAATGAATGAGCCTGGAAAAAGGGAAAGCATGAAATGTTTCAATTCAAGGTTCACCATTTTGGCTACATGCTCAGGAATAGTGGAAGCTTTTTGCTGTGGGTAACAACAGAGGCCTTTAGGAAGGCTGGGACAGAATCTGAGTAGTTTGCCAGTGAAGGAGCACCCTCTGGTGTTGAGATGGAGATATGACAGTTTCTTCCTGTCTTTTTTTTTACTTCCAATAGAAAAGTAAATTCTAGAATGAAAGGGACCTTTGGAGATGGCCCTGGCCCACCCTGACTTAATACAGACAAGGACACTGAAGTGTGGAAAGGGGGTCTGAAATCACCCAGCTGTGATTAGAACCAGGTGGTTGAGGGTGTTTCCTAGCTATGGAGGTTGAGAGCAGGGAAGGCAGGAAGCCACAGGGCTGGACCTGATGGTGACCGAGGAATCAAACTAGAAGTGAAAGTTGTGAGATACACTGAGCAGCTGGTGTCTGCAGACTGATTAGGTGCGGAGCTGTGAGGTAACTGGAGGGCTGTGGGCATGGTAGGAAGGTGTGTGTGTGTGTTTAAGATTTATTTATTTGTACATACTGAACTGGGGTATAGGCCAGAGGTGTGGGAGGGGCGGGGCGAGGTGAGAGGATTCACCAGAGACAGAGCTGGGAGCAGAACAGGCAGATCGACAGAGCGCACTGCTGAGGGTCCAGCAGGTGGGTCAGGAGGGTCTGCCCACACCATGTGGGTCACCTCCCTGGCTGGGGGTCGAAGTCGTGCTGCAGTGGCTGTGATAGCTTCATAGTGCTGTGCTTTAATCTGTTGCGCCACCAGGGAGGGCCCAAGATGTGTGTTTTCTTTTGGCCTTGTTGACCTTGGAATGGAACTTCAGGTAGAAATGTCTGTCAGCAAGCAGCTGTGGGCATAACAGTGTGCTCTTCCCTGACAGCTGATAACATGAGTTGATTATCCTAGAATCCAAAATAGCTTTCAATTCCGCATTTATTTTTGGTAACACTCTATTTGGGCAGGTCACTGTTGAATGTCATCTTCAAGGATGACACTCCATCTCTTGGTATAAAAATGATACAGCAGTTTCTTCTATTCCGTATTGGAATCTTTAGGACTAGACACAGCCTTGCAGGCGGTATCACATAACCATAGCCAAATGTAATTTTAATGATGTCAGTGCTGAGGCCCAGAAAAATAACTTAGAATCACAGGCAGAAAAGAAACTCCTCCCATCTCTGGCTAGCTTTAACAGAGAAGAGTGAGGAGTTATAAGAAATGAAGTAAAAGAGAAAGAATATAAGTCCTGATGGTAGATGGCTTGCGCCTTGCCAGAATCTTAGACAAACTTGAGAAGGTTGGTGAACTCCCCTACTTTCTTGACTTAGTTCTCAAGGAGTTTAGTTGGGAAGCTGAGTTATTCCAGAAAATTGGTGAATCTGAGGGCTCATTCCCAAAGGGCAGAGTTCAGAGAAACAGTGAGGAGTTCCAGAAAACTTTTAGTTATCAGATGGGACTTGAGGGGGGGTCTTAAGAGAGCCAGACACTAATTCATTCAGAAGTATTCATTGAAGTCTTGGTGTAAGGTCAGAGGTACAGTGACACCAAAGAGAGAGAAGGGCGTCTGCTCCTGAAGTTGACTAGAGTGAAGGGGACACAGATGGTAAACAGATGACCCCAGCATTCATTTTGTGCACACTAAGTGCTCTTCAGCCAATAAAACTGGACTCTTCTAGATCAGATGGTTGGGGAAGGCCTCTCTGAGGAAGTGATTTTCTTTAGTCACAAGAAGCAGCCAGTCCTGCAGGGAGTGGCCATGCAGAAGCTAGAACTCAAAGAACCGACATGGTGAGGTGCTTGGGGACTGGGATAACTTGAGAGAGGCCCCTGTGGCTTGAGTGGAGTAAGTGACCAGGAGAGGATGGTCAGAGGAGGTGGAGGAGGATAGGGCCTACTCAGGTAGGAACAGTACAGATTCAAGGATTGGAACAGCAGGCAGCGTGGGTGAGCTGAGAGTTTCTAGAAACTGTATTGCAGATGTACTGATTTCAGTGTGATCCTGATGATTTTTAAAAAAGACTTATTTATGCATACAGAACTGGGGTACAGGCCAGAGGTGCAGGGCCAATGAGAGGATTCACCAGAGACAGAGTGGGGAGCAGAACAGGCAGATTGATAAAGTACACTGCAGAGGGAGCAGTGGGCGAGAAAGCCGATCTCTGCGGCACCAAACCTGGCCAGGATTGAACTCGTGCTGAAGCAACTGCAAATAGTGCTGTGCTTTAACCCCTTGTGCAACCAGGGAGGGCCCTGATTCTCTTTATTTTTTGGCCTCATGAATCCTGCCTGTGTTTCCTCTGTAGGCAGGATGGAGGTGCACACAGGGACCTGACTCGAGCACCCCTCCCCACCCAGCTGTACAACTGGGCCGCCCCAGAGGTGATCTTACAGAAGGCAGCCACGGTGAAGTCAGACATCTACAGCTTCTCTATGATCATACAGGAGATTTTAACAGGTAGGTCACAGAGCATATCAATGATGACCAAACTACTTACTTGCTTAGGCTGGATTATCTCCCCTCTTAAAGAGTTACTTAGTTTTATGAAGATGTAGGACATAGAGAAAAGACTGTTTCAAGGAAACTGATTTGTGCTTATGGACGATATAAAATGATCCGCTTAAAAACTTTCTCCTTTAATCCTTTTATTCGGACACAGCAAAACACTGATCAGTTTGTCATTAATTATCCATTTTGTCCAAGTAAAGTTCTTTGTTTATTTATTTTTTAAAGATTTGTTTATTTACACGTACAAGAGCTGGAGTATACAGGCCAGAGGTGCAGGGGGTAAGACAATTCATCAGAGACAGAGTAGGGGGCAGAACAGGCAGACTGACTGAAATACACTGCTGAGGGTTGCAGCGGGCAAGACAGGAGAGGTCTGCTGGGCCATGTGGGTCAGCTCCCTGGCTGGGGATCAAACTCATGCAGCAATGGTTGTGGACAGCTTCATAGTGCTGTGCTTTAACCTGTTGCACCACGAGGGAGAGCCCCCAAGTAAAATTCATAAGATGGATTTTAGTATCAGTGCTTAGGGATCTCCATGAGTGGGATCAGCACACTCAGATTCTGTGCCTGTGATGCAGTGGCACTGACAGAAACGCAGCCCCCCCAGACGTACAGGACTTACTGTGAAGGAAGTGGTCGCACATCTGAAGACAAAGGAATCATTCAGGAGAGGGACACACACCCACAGAACAGCCATATTAACTGTGGGAATATGTGAGAATCAGCCCTCAAGTAAGGGTGTTCACAGTCTCTGAGACAGGACCATGTCTTCATGACATGGTATTGAGCCACCCAGCCTGATGCTATGACACCCTTATGGTGCCCAACTGTGCTACCCCTGGGGGGAGCCTGTGTGTCCACAGTTCTGGGAGATGGGTAAAGTGATTTCTTATTTGGGATTGTGCTTAAAGAGGTTGGGTGACTTAACTAAGGTCACCAATTTCATGTGATTTCTTAATATTATTTCTTCCTATGGCAATTTCTTTGACAGACAACATACCCTGGAATGGCTTGGATGGCTCAGTTATTAAAGAAACCATTGTCTTGGGAAATTATTTAGAAGCTGATGCCAGGCTTCCAAAACCTTACTATGATATTGTTAAGTCAGGCATCCAAGTCAAGCAGAAAGACCGAACTATGAACCTTCAGGATATCCGGTATATTCTGAAGAATGACTTAAAGGTAAGCTTTGAAGTTGTCAGGAGTTTATATGTCTGTTTACCCATTTTATGGGAGTAGATACTTAAAGACAAAAAAGAAACTAAAGACCAAGTTGTAAATCTCTGAAATCCTCATTTCCTTGCCACATAACTGAGAAACACCTAGTTGCTTAACTTAGGTGAGGGCTGCAGGGAATTGAGATGGTGGGAGGGTGACCGGCAGCCTTCGTAGGCACATCGTGTCATTCAGTGAATGACGTGATTGTTTCTACTTTTTAAAATTGGTCATAGTGCTGGACTTAGCTAATCAGAGCTAGTCAGTCTACCCAACAGGAGCAAGAGAGTGTATTTAATACCTAGATCTGTGGCTAAAACACCACTGACACTCAGATGATTGCAAATATGTCCTTGACAATCTTTCCTTTAATACAGGATTTTATTGGGGCCCAGAGAACTCAGCCAACTGGGAGTCCACAGGTACAAAGTTATGAACTACATCCTGATGTCAGTGTCTGTCTTGGACTTCCTTCAGAATATCCAAAAGAGACCTCTGACTTGGAAATAAAAGAACTGAAGGAAGCAGGTATAGCCATCCCCCCCTCGGGTTAATAAACATTATGAGTGTGTGCTGAAAATCACGAGCTGCCAATCCTCCAAACTGTAAGTGCCACTTAGCGGAGAAAAGGCAGATAGATGCCGTAAGGGAAAACCAGGACACTTACAGTTCCTAAGTTAAACATTTTGGAGTCCATGTACAACTTGGTTACTTCTGGAACCAAGCAGTAACAACCGGTTTATTTCTAGATGATGACTCTCAGGAATTTATTTAATTGCTTCCAAATAAAAACGGTGGTTTTTAAATTTAAAACTTTTATCTCCTCAATTTGGGAAATTTGAAACATTATAAAGATGGAAATTACTTGCCATTTTAATTCTGACTCTCAGAAATGAGAACTTTTACCCTTGGTGCACATACCTGATCATCTTCTACAATTGGGAAGAAAGTGGGAAAGTGAAAAACTCCTTCTGCATTTTTTTTTTAAAGATTTATTTATTTGTGTATATAGAACTGGGGTACAGGCCAGAGGCTCAGGGGCGACGAGAGGCTTTACCATAGACAGAGTGGGGAGCAGAACAGACAGATCGAGGAAGTACACTGCTGAGGGGAGCAGCAGGTGGGTCAGGAGAGGTCTGCCACACCATGTGGTCACCTTCGGGGCAGGCGGGAATCGAACTCATGAGGAAGTGGCTTTAGATTCTCAGTGCTGTGCTTTAACCCGCTGCGCCACCAGGGAGGGCCTCCTTCTGCATTTTTATGCTGCTTGAGCAACAAGACAAGTCTGCTCCTCCTGTCTGTCCTGTTGATCACTTTAACTGGTTGCATGTCGCCACTCTTCCCAACAGGCAGTCAGCGCCACTCACCAAGGAGTTACTCTTCTCCCACTGAGAAAGCAACACCAGATCCGCACCCGAGACTGACAGCTAAAGAGACTCAAAACCAGGACACTGCTTTTTGTGCTTGCTCTGTGGCAGAAGAGGCCAGGAGCCCCAGCCCCGGTCAGGAGAGCCTCTGCAGCTTTGAAATCAATGAGATCTTCTCAGGCTGCCTGGACGTAGGAGATGACAAAGAAAGCCCAGGAACTGGCGCAGCTCTTGAGGTTAGCTCAAACCAGATAGACGAACTGAAGTCCATGGAAGAAGAATTGGATAAAATGGAGAGAGAAGCATGCTGTTTTTGCCATAACGATGAGAGCTCTTCAGAAGCTGGCACAGACCTCTCCTTGGAGGACTGGAGCTGGCAGAATGGTTCACTGAGTTCACCCAGCCTTTGTGAGTTCACCCAGCCTGTGCCCAGAGAAGCCAGGGGCAGTGTGAACAACCGGTCCATGACCGAAGAGTACATCAGTAAGTGTGTGCTGAATCTAAAGATTTCACAGACGTTAATGCACCAGAATGTCGATTTGCTGAGGAATACCCAACAGAAAATTGATATGCTTGAGATGATCCAGAAGGAGCAGGAGTGCAGGTGTTTGTGGGCTTCTTCGAGAGAGTTTGCAGATGTCTTTAACTCACTTTCAGCTCTGGGCCCCCCAGCTTTGAGCTATATTCCTCCTGTCGTGCAGCTGCCAGCGGGCCAGCAGCTGGACGCTGGGGGCAATAGCCCGAGCCCAGCAGGGTCTCCAACAACAGTGAGAGACTTTCAAGGGGGGAATATTGGCACAAGGTCCAGGAAGAGAAGTAGCTCTGGCTGTAAGCCTTTCATCCAAGTCTCTGAAGAAAGCACTGGGAACCAGTCAGAGCAGAACCATCAGGTAAAGCTCTAAGGAGTGGGTTCAGGGGAGCCCAACAGGATCTGGGGCCAGGTTCAGCATTGCTGCCGACCTGGTGCAGGACTGATGGAGACACAACCAACTCCTAGGCCTTTGGTCTTGGGAAACAGCCGCTAGGGTAGAATTCCAGGGTCGATACTCTTCATCACTTGTTCCAAATTCAACACAAAGCCGAAAATTCAGAGTTCTCAGATTGTACCACATGAAATTGCTGTTTTATGGGTCAAAATAATCAAGTACTGGCAATTTTACGTGGTCTACATGGTTTCTGTACATGGTATCTTGGGCAAGTATTAATCTCCACTTTACATTATTTCATTCACCAACAAACATTTATAGAGCCAGAGGTGATATATTAGCCCCTGGGATATAATGATGAATCACAGGTTTGACCTGTGCGTCACTCAGACACCAGTGGGGGGGGGTGCAGTGGTGTTTGGGAAGATGGCGTGGAGCTGGCTCTGGAGGCTTAGCCCGAGGCTTAGGGAGGGCTAGCGTGGCTGTTCCACAACCGCCTAAGGAAAGGGCCAGTCTTGTTCTGGTCCCCAACGCCTGGCAAAGGTGCCTGACACACTGAAAGTACTCGGTAAATGGTCGTTGAAGGAATGAAGGAGTAAATAACGGAGTGGATTTGAACAGGGTCACACAGAGGGCTTGCTGCCTTTTGAATCACAGAATTTTGTAGATGGAGCAGCCCCACCATTTTACAGGGTGGTGAGCTCCAACTCAGTGACTTCAGCTTCCCGAGGCACAGTGTTGTTACTGAGGTGGGGGTGGAGTAGGAAAGCCTGGCCCCATTGGGAGAACTTTTATGACTGAACTTATTAGAATTGCTGGCTCACTGTGATGTCAAGCAGGCCAACTTTTAGTGGGTTTTATTATTGTTTTAAATCTTCCACCTACTCCACACCTGCTCTGCTGCCTGCGCAGGACAGGCCGCTCCCCTCACCTAGCCCTGCTTCTCTACCTTCAGCACCCACAGGGGCCGGGGACCATTTCCTGAGTCTGGGCCTAGTGTTCTCCCCCTAGTGTTCTTTCCCTGTAGTTCAGTGAAGCTTCAGTCATCACTTGACCATTTGGAAAAACATTGGTACTTGTTTCTCCATAAAGAGAAGGCACAAAGAATTAGATTGAGATCCCCATATTTCTTTTTCCACTGAAAACTAGAGTTTGCTAGAAAACCTTTTCTTGTTTAGAAATACCTTTTTTTTTTTTAAGATTTTATTTATGCATACAGAACTGGGTGGGGTACAGGCCAGAGGTACAGGGGCAGTGAGAGAATTCACCAGAAACAGATGTGGGAGCAGAACAGGCTGATTGACGAAGTACACTGCGGAGGGGAGCAGCGGGCGGGTCAGGAGAGGTCTGCCGCGCCATGTGGTCACCTCCAGGGTGGGGATCGAACTCATGCTGAAGTGGCGTTAGCTTCCAGTGCTGCGCTTTTACCCGCTGTGCCACCAGGGAGGGCCCAGAAATACCTTTTTTTTTTTTTTTAAAGATTTATTTATTTATTCATACAGAACTGGGGTACAGGCCAGAGATGCGGAGGGTGAGAGGATTCACCAGGGACAGAGTTGGGAGCAGAACAGGCAGATCGACGAAGTACACTGCTGAGGGGAGCAGCGGGCGGGTCAGGAAAGGTCTGCCACACCATGCGGTCTCCTCCGGGGCAAGCTGGGAGCAAACTCATGCGGAAGTGGCTTAAGCTTCTTAGTGCTGTGCTTTAACCGGCTGCGCCACCAGGGAGGGCCAGAAATACCTTTATTTTGCAATACATTTTGGTTATCTTTTGATGTGTAGCAAAGAGAAACAAAGCCCCAAATACAGTGGATTAAAATAAGTGGTTTATTTCTTCATGTGGCGTGGGCTGAGACTTTTCCTACAACAGCATTCAGCATTCAGTTGGGCTGGATGAGAGATGTCAACTATCTGTTGCCTTGGCTTCAAGTGGCCTCTCTCTGCCCTTGGCTTCTCATTATTCACTAAATAGCCCACTTAGCCTCTCTACCCCGTGGCTGCCGTCTTCTGAAATGAAGCTGAAGTTGAAGTCTTTTTGAAATGTTGTATATATTTTCCACCATTCCTCATTTTTATACAACGTTTGCTTTCCCCTCTCACGTGTAGCCCCCAGGAAATTCCTACCTCTGATCCATCCTGCACTGTCACCACAGTCCCCTGTGCTGTTCCCACTCATTTTGATCCTTCACCCCCCTCCTCCCCTGCAGAACGTCTCTGATTGATAGTTGCCTGTTGCTTTTTTAAAAAAAATTAAGAAGATTTATTTATTTATGCATACAAGAACTGGAGTACAGGCCAGAGGTGTGGAGGGGGATGAGAAGGTTCACCAGCAACAGAATGGGGAGCAGAACAGGCAGATCTATTGAAATCTACTGCTGAGGGAGCAGTGGGCAAGACAGGAGAGGTCTGCTGTGCCCTGTGGGTCACCTTCCTAGCCAGACATCAAACTCGTGCTGCAGTGGCTGCAGAAAGTTTTACAGTGCTGTGCTTTTACCCTTGTGCCACTAGGGAGGGCCCTGATTTTGATTTTTAATTTACTATAATTTTTTTTCCTCCCCTGCACCATGTGAGTCAGCTTCCTGGCCGGGGAACAAACTTATGATGCAATGGCTGCCGGTAGCTTCATAGTGTTGAGACTTAACCCAGTGTGCCACCAGGGAGCCCCCCTTCTTTATTTTTCCTGATCCCTGTTTCATTCCTCTACATTTCTCCTGTAAGCGAAACCACTCAATATTTTTCTTTTTCTTTCTGGCTTAATCCCTTCCAGTATAATCCCTTCCAGCTCCATCCATGTTGCCATGAACGGCGTGAGTTTATCTTGTTTTTATTGCTGAGTAATATTCCATTGCATATATATGTATGTGTATGTATCAAAGATGTGTATGTATGTACACACTACATCTTTGAAGTTGAAGTCTTTATTTTTTAAAGATTTATTTACTTATGCATACAGAACTGGGGTACAGGGGCAGTGAGAAGCTTCATCAGAAACAGAGTGGGGAGTAGAACAGGCAGATTGACGAAGTACACTGCTGAGGGGAGCAGTGGACAAGACAGGAGAGGCCTGCTGTGCTTTGTGGATCACCTCTGGGGCAGGGATGGAGCTTGCACTGAAGTGGCTGCAGCCAGCTTGCAGTGCTCATCCTAACCTGCTGCGCCCCCAGGGAAGGTGTGAAGTTGAAGCCTTAAAACTAGTCCCGGGGCCTCCCTGGTGGCGCAGTGGTTGAGGTGCAGCACTATGAAGCTGCCACAGCTCTTGCAGCAAGAGTTCGATCCCCGGGCCAGGGAAATGACCCATATGTCTCAGCAGACCTCTCCTCTGTTGCTCCCCTCAGCAGATCTGCTTGTTCTGCTCCCCACTGTGGCACTGTGTGTCTCTAGTGTATCTTACCTCCTGCATCTCTGGTCTGTACCCCACCTTGTGTGTGTGTGTGTGTGTGTGTGTGTATTTATTTATTTATTTAAGCCCTGGGGCAGTATTATCGCCTTGTCTCAGATCCTGCTGAAGATCCTTTACTCCTATGCGAAGGCTTCTGGAGCACACACTTTAGGGAGATTTTTAGTGTATCTTGACATTTTGAGCATCTTGCTGCTATCCCCAAGCCCCACATTTGTTACATTTATAGGCTGTAGGTTAGAAGATACAATGAACAGTTTGTTTGGGATAAACACACCCAAAAGTCTTTTAGATACAGGATATAGGTTAAGTTTCTTTTAGTCTACTATTTCTAAAGTATTGTAGCCTTTATTTATATACACAGCATCCCACTGGTAGACAGTGACAGGCATGAGTCACTGTCCCTGTCTTATGCGTGAGGGAACTGAAGCATACTGCTCCCTCAGGCTGGGTCTCCTGCCTCCAAGCCTTCTGCCTTAATCATACTAGAGGGGAATGTACAAAGAAAAGCTTTTTTAATTTTCAGTGTCTCTTGTTTGCTCATTCTTCACTTAACCCTCTTAGAACTGGGCTGCTGGAGGGAGGCGGCAGCATTTCTCCATAAAATCTTCCAGATAAGTGATAGCTCTATTAGATAGAAAACATGAGAAGGTCTGTTTACTTTTAGCAAAAAAAAAAAAAAAAAAAATTAGCAAAAATATCTTTGAAAATAGAATGTGTATAAAGTGGGGAGAAATTCAAGCACTGAAGCATGTTGACCTCTTTTAAAGGTTTCAGATCTTTGTAGCCCTGGAAAACAGAGCATATGTGAACAGTTTCAATCAACTCAGGGAGCCAAGGGCAGCTTGGAAAAAAGCAGGAGCCAAAGTTCCAGCAGGTGAGTTAACATTTTTATTAGTCCTTGTGTCACCATACCTTTAGATTCCCATGTGATATCGAGGCCACTTAATGATTGACATACGGCTAGCAACAGAGACACTGAATGATAAGAATAGAAATAAATCCTCTCATAAACAGAGTGATATAATGGAGGAAGGTGTGATTTGTCACTTCAGAGGTGAAGTGACCAGCACGTCAATCACACAGAGCTCAACAAGTGTCAAAAGTGAAACTGCTTGCCTTTCCCAGAACGGTCCAGACTGTTTTTCTTATAAAAGGAAACACAGGCATATGGCACGTGCCAGTGCTCCAGAAACCAGGCTGTTCAGAAACTGCCCCCTCTTTCATTTCTTAGCCAGGGAAGGCCTAGAGAGTCCAGTGTCCGAGCCAAAGCAACGCAGCTGAATAGTGCACTCCTCACTGTGTCACGTCACCCTCAGGGACCACCTGCATCATCCAGCTTGGGCCAGGGCTCTACCAGGTCAGGAGCATCATAGTCGCAACACTGGGTGGGTTGTGTGGTGCCCTCTGGTGGAGGGCAGGAGTCCGTGCCCGCCCAGGAATGACTGAGAGGAGGGAGTGTGGGTGGATGGTCCTGGGGAGGGACTGCTGGGTTCGGGCTATGTGGCAGTCTTGAACAAACTAATGTGTTTGTGTGCGCCCTGTTCCTCTGCCTTCTCCCCAAACTGTGCACTTTAGGATCGGTGTGGAATCTGTGTCTTCTGAAATCTATAATGCAAAGTCAAGAAATAAAGAAGATGATGGGGAGGTGCACTTAAAATGGGAAAGTGAGTATGAAGTCATAGGTTATTGAAATGAAATTTAAAGTCTATTTAAATTTCAGCAACCTGGTTGTTATCACTAAGTACACAGCCTGGACTGCACTATCCTTTCACATTTTTTTCCTCTGTTAGATCATTTTATTTTAAAAGCATGGATTTTGTGATTACAAAGTGCAAAAGGAAAGGTTTTTTTTCCCTTTCTAGACTTTATATTTTTTCTATATATTAGTTTATATCATTTAACAATCAGAACAATACACAATATATTTAATATAAACATTATTAAAGTAGAATGTGACAGTGTAACTCTCATATATCTGGTAAGTATTAAAAGAATACAGTGGCTATGTTTTTTAACACTAGTGTTAAGTGACATTAGCAAAAGTACAGGACATTTGTAATGAAACACTCATGTGTACATACACACTCTCAAAGTATGAGTTCAGAGCCGATCATAAAGGCCAGAGTCAAATAGAATCCTTTCCATTAGTTTCTACAGACTGGGGGCTTCAGATACCATTTTCTTGAAAAATGTTCACACTAGGAATTCCATTTACACTTTTTTTTCTGTTTTCCACTTTGAAAATTCAGCAGCAAGGACTAGAATTAACTGAAATTCTGCTCTTCCCTCTGTCAAGTCTCCCCTGCCTCCTTTCTAGCTAAACAGAACAAGGTAAAGATGATGCTATTCCAAAAAGGCATTCTTGTGTGACTCTCTAAGAATCAAAAGCTTTTGTTTGCAGTACTCACAGCACTGTTTTAAATGCTATTTTCTCTTCTGTCCAGCGGACGTGAAAGAAATGGCAGAGAAAGTAGCTACTGGGCAGCTGTTGGTATCTCCTTGGCATCCTCAGAGTCGTTTGATTGCAGAGAAAGAGGCTGAAAACAAACTGAATCCCCTGCCCTCGACCCCCATCAGGGACCCAGAGAATGTTGGCTGGCAGCGAGCTATAGAGTATCCCAGAAAAAATGATGAGCATGCCAAGTGTGACAGAAAGGACAGCAGTGACCAGAATGGCAGACAGTTTGGGTCTCGAAGCTTATTGTCAGTTGGAGAAATTGGGATTGGTGAGTTTATCAGGTTACTCTCAATAAGTAAATCTTCTGGAATACATTTCCTTTGCTGGATTTGCTCTCCTTTGCCATATATCTGGGGACCTTGTCTTCCAGGGGAAAGCAGTGGGCCCTTTGACTCACCTGTCCTTCCTGCGGGTAAAGAAATTCTCAAATTTTTCAATCAGTGGAACAGACCCCTCTGTCCAAAGGAAGACAGAGGCCCTGACCCTGGTCTTGGGCCTGACTTGGCAAGGAAAGGAACCTTCCTTACTGAGCGCAGTGGCCACTTCCTGTTCCCTGTTTAATTGCATTTTAAGACAGAAAAATTCCACTGCCCCCCAGATAGTCTATGCCAGAGGACTCTAGAGAAAAGTGACATTTTAAGAAAATTAAATATACTTATTTAAATACATATATTTTACATTGCTGTTCATTTTTGTATAATGTTTGGTTTTTCCTCTCAGTTGTAATTCTATAAGATTCCTACCACCAAATCACCTGTGAATTCTCACCATATTTTCTTGTTCTTTTCCCTCCCCTGCTTAGATTCCCCCTCCCCCTTGCTGTATGTCTCCAGCTTATAGTTTGCCTGCTAGTTTTGTCTGCCTTTTTTTTTTTTTTGTTCCCTGCCCCTTTTGGGGGTATACTTCCTATAAGTGAAACCATCCCACACTTTTCTTGAGAAAAATGGCATTTACTGTCATCACTGTTACAGATTTGTGGGCTAAAGCTGATAGCTATGCATTCTACCTGGTAATTGCTTGCCATCAGAACACAGGATATTATCTCCTAGTTGTAAGTTAAACCTGCATCTAAAATGATTGTTTATCTTAGGTACAAATCTTCTGAGTCAGTGGTGATTTTTTTCTTTTCTTTTCTTTTTGGTATTTAAAATCTTTGCTTAGTCAAGGATCACTTAAACGGGCCGATGATCCAGGCCTATGTGTGGAGCCAGGCTAAATAGTGGCCACTGTCTGGACTGGACCTGAAATGCAGGGTGGGCCGTCCGTGGCAGAACTGTGGCATTTCTTTTCTCACCTTTCTGGGCCACCTTTCACCCCTTCCATGTCATGTGAATGTCACTGAATGATTTTGACTCTGGTTGTATGATTATTAGGTATCAGGCATCTGAAGCACAGGAAAAATGAGCACTCAGAGCACAGTGAAGCCTTTCAAGCAAGTTCTGAAGCATGTGCTCTCACTGAGAAATCTTGCAGTGTAAGTAATACTGACCCAGGGTGCTAAGTTGAACCCAGAGACCTAATAAAGTAGAACAGTTGTTACATGTTATAATATTGAAATACCTATAATAGATTTTTATGTTGGATAAGATGCCCTTATGTTTCCTTCTTTTTTTAAAAAATATTTTTTTCCTGAAGATTTATTTATGCATACAAGAACTGGGGTACAGGCCAGAGGTATGGGGATGAGAGGACTCACCAGAGACAGAGTGAGGAGCAGAACAGGCAGACTGACTGAGATACACTGTGAGGGGAGCAGCAGGCAGACAGGAGAGGTCTGCTGCGCCATGTGGGTCAGCTCCCTGGCTGGGGATTGGACTTGTGCTGCAGTGGCGTGGCCAGCTTTGCATGCTGTGCTTTAACTCATTTGTGCCACTATGGAGGGCCCTCCCAGAGACTTGTTCTTTCTGAGAATTTAAAAAACAATGGTTGGCGCCCTCCCAGAAGACTTCCTCCTCCATTGTGCAGATTGGATCACTGAGGCTCAGGGCTGCCAATCCTCCATACTTACTCTAGGTAGTTCCTAGCTCACTGGGGGAACACGGGCAGGGCAGGGTGAAGTAGACTGGAAGGAGCTGACCCAGGGAGTATCACCCTGACTGCTGGGTGTTTTTAGATAACCCGCTACTAACACTGCTAACCACTATACAGGGCTTTATTTACCTACTTTAAAGTGATTTCCTACTTTATTCATAGAATCAGTCTGTGCATTCAGCTTGTTCACGAGAGTCTTCTGAGGACACGACAGAGGAATTTTTAACTCCAGACCATGAATATTTTTACTCCTCGACTGCTCAAGACAACTTAGTTCTAGAGGTAAACTCACAGGTCAGGGTAAAATATATTTTCAACTTTCTCCATGGCCTCTTCTCAGTGGCATTTGTTGAGAAAGGTAGTACATAAACATGTGTAACGTTGATTGACCAGAGGTTTCATGTGTTTTTTAAAAAACCTGAACATGAGATTTTTGAGAATGGAAGGTCACGTGCCATCTCTCCCCAGGCTTTGGTCCTGCCGTTGTGTAGTAGGAAGAGAAGTCCTGTGTAAGAAGGATTAGTGACCCACAGACACGGGGATGAGAGCTGGGGCTCAGTGGGGGCTGAGAGGCCCCAGACTCTGGGCTCTCTTGGGGAGCTGCCTGTCACTTTTGCAAGAACCTGTTTGTACAGTTTCATTTCTTTTCTTTTTAAGATTTATTTATTTATTTATACAGAACTGGGGTACAAGCCAGGTGCAGGGTCTGTGAGAGGATTCACCAGAGACAGATGGGAGAGCAGAACAGGCTGACTGATGAAGTACACTGCTGAGGAGAGCAGTAGGTGGGTCAGGAGAGGTCTGCCGCACCATGTGGTCACCTCTGGGGCAGGATCCAACTCACGCTGAAGTGACTTTAGCTTCTTAGTGCTGCACTTTAACCCGCTGCGCCACCAGGGAGGACCCCTGTATAGTTTATTTTCATTGACAAAATGAAAGCCCCTGGATTCTCTTACTTATTTATGTGATTTCTACTTCTGTGCTCCCCTAATCTGCCACCTTTGGCAGATTTTTTTTTTACTAACATGGAAGGTGGAGTAGAGGAAAAGAGGCCCGTACAAGTCAACTCTAACAGGCAGCTGACAGGAGTTCACCAGTGCGTCAAAAAGTGTAATTTCCACTTGTCTGCACTTTTGAAAACTCAGAGGAGTTTTCCATTACAAATCCTTTACATTTTCTTGATTTTACTTTGGGCAGACTGAAATGTTAAGAAAATCTTTTATTTTTTAAATATTCATTTATTTATACATATAAGAGCTGGGGCACAGGCCAGAAGTGTGGGTGTAAGAGGAGTCACCAGAGACAGTGGGAGCAGAACAGGCAGATTCACTGAATACACTGCTGAGGGGAGCAGCGGGTGGGTCAGAAGAGGTCTGCTGAGCCATGTGGGTCAGCTCTCTGGCCAGGGATCAAACTCCTGCTGCAGTGGCTCGTGATAGTTTCATAGTGAGGAGGCTTAGCCTGTTGTGCCCTGGCTCCTGAAATGTTAGAAAATGTTTAACAAATTATATATGTCATACACATACACACAGATATAATACTTGCATATAATATGTCCTTGTGTACTTGTCCATAAATGTGTAACACAGAGAAAAGTGCTTAGCTCTGGTGTATAGCTAATGAACTGCCACAAATTGAACACATTCATGTAACCAACCCCAGATCAAGAAAGAGAACATTTCCCCCAAATACCACCTGGGGTTCCTCCTAGTCACAGCCTCTCCTCATAACCCTCGAACCAAAGTTCTGACTTCTCACCCATAGAGTAACTTTGCAGAGGTAGCCATTTTTTACTCTTCTTTGGCTCTTCTGCTAAAACTCTCATGAATCAAAATGATCTTTGTTGGAAGTTTGGGGTAAGGAGGGGAGAATGATAACAAAAAAAAGTCCCACCATCCCCTCACAATGGGAAGAGCAGGGAAACCTGTTATTTGTGCTGTATTTAGCACAAATAAAGATTCCATGACTTCAAAGTGGGTTTGTTCTATTTCTAAAAAAGATGGGGACCTTAGATAGGTTATCAAAGTTTAAGAAAATCAAGAAATTCTCTAGACCTTTTGATAATATCTGCCTCTAGTTTAAACTCTTTCCTGTGTTCTTTCTTTTATAGACCTCAAGTCCCATAGAAGAGAATTTTAAAGGAATACCAGGTGCGTTTGCCCAACCTCAAGCCTCTGATAGATGCCTGTGAGCATTATTTGCTTTCACTTTGCAGATGACAAATATTTATGGCTGGAGAAGTCCTTGGAGAGCACCTTGTCTGAGCCTTTCACTGTACATCTGAGGTTCCCCTATTAGAATGACTGCCCTGGCCCTCGCCAGCCTCTGATCCACACAGCATGTTCTTAATACCTCTCCTTGCAGTCTGAGTATTAATAGCAGTTGCTGCTTTTGCCCTCTAGTCTTTTACTAGATTCCAGTTTCACTTGTGGCCCATAGCAGGGGTTTAGATACCTGAGGGATTTTCCGAAGCCACATAGTTAGGTACTGATAGGGCACAAACTAGAATTAGGTATCCATAACCACCTCCACCCCACAAGGCAGAGTTTCACCATAGTTTTCCTTTGATTGCTGTCTTGGAAAAAGAATTGATAGCAACCAACAGTGCAGGGTCAGCATAACATCCTGCCGTGGGAGTGCCTGGATTCTGTATAATTTAGCAGCTGCTTTCTGTAACATGGGAGTTAACCTGAATCAGCAGCCAAAGTATGGCACAAGGCAAGATGTAAGCGAACTATTGGCACTGATACTGGCATTTAAAAAATTGTGTACCTTTGCACATCTCTCTGAAAAGTTATCCACTTATCAAATCATGGGGAAGTCCATGGTCATGTCTCAACACCCTGCACACAGGCAGGGGGCTCAGATTCTGAACTTGGCTCATCCCATGTTCTTGCTGTGTGCTCGGTCTCCCCTCCTCCACCTGATCCAGGCTCTCATCACAGAGGAGAGCTTTTTCAGAAGTTGTAAGCTTTTACATACATAGTTAAATTCTCAGGGCAGTACGTTTTCAGAGTCTATAGATCTGGATCTTGGGCCATCCCCTTCTTTCTTTGGCGCCTCTATCCATAGTCACTTTCTGTGTGATCCTGGCCTGTGCAGGGCTATTTCACTTGTGCTCAGACAAGAGTTGAGTGGGATGGGGGAAGTGGGCAGGCAGACAGAAGAGTACAGCGGATTCAATAGCATGGAAAACATGGAGAAGACACATGCTGGGCTCCAAGGCCGGTTCTGCCACTTTCTGGATGACCTTGGGCTGGGCGTTCCATGCCCTACTGTCCCTTTATATATAGAAGAGTGTCAGATGCAAACGATCTCTAGGTATTCCTCCTGCTCTAAGTTGTGCATATTAGGAAAAACTTCATACTCTCTGGGTTTTTGGAAGAAAGGCCCAAAGAACCCCAGTACTTCTCCATGATTCCCAGAGCCCTTTGGTACCTGCTGAAGGTGGCTGTTGCTCACCAGACTACTTGAACAAAGGGGAGAGGAATCCGGAGCTTTTTTTGCCAACAGGGTAGTTGCTGTCTCTCCTACTCTGTGTAACATAGAGCAATACAATGATGGAAAGAAAAATGGATATTAGCTTGGTCTGTCCAAGGGTCTGCAAAGCCTTACTGAGAATTGGGGAGGGAGTATTTTCAGAGCCTGACATCAAGGACCACAGAGAACAGTTGAATTAGCTCCTTAGTACTGAAGCCTCACCCCCACTCTTTGGTGTTTCATGGCCAAAAGGCACAGTTAGCACTCTGGGAATTTCCAGCTAATGGTCTTTTCTATTTGGAATCTTTATTGAACAAACAGTTCTTGGTTCCAACGCCCTCTAGTGTCTGTTGACAGGAACCAGGTCAGTTTGCCTTCCTGCAAAAACAAAACAACATTTGTCCCCAGAAATAACTGCAGTTATAACTGAAAGGCCAGTAAATGGCTTGATTGTGTTCTGAGTGTCAGAATATAGTTCTCCCCTCTGAGCAAGGAAAATAAATGTTCAGAATGAAACCCTCTTTGCAGCACTCAATCCAAACCCAATTAGGGAAGCACTTTGTCTATCCAGATTCTTTCTCATTCTGAACCAGACCACAGGAAATTCTAGGGAATGAAAATAATAATCAGGGTTGGCAAAAGTCCAGTTTAAAATGCATTTGATTTATTTTTTAAGGTGAAGAAAAGTTCCCAATGAGAAGAAGCCTTGGAAGGATTGCTGAGGTTTCAACTCAGTCGCAGTTTCAACCTATACAAAGGTATGTGCTGTCACAATCTTATTCACAGTTTCAGACTCACAGAAGAAATATTAAATTATGTCCCATGTTTATATATTGCTTTCTTTCAGATGTACTAGCCATTATGTTATAAAAGTCAGCTCAGCTTTGTTAAGCCTTGTTCAGTAGAATTATGAGGGGTCATGAAAAGGAACCATTATCTGTACACAGACCCTGACTTAGCCTTTCTTTTCTTCTTTTTTTTTTAAAGACTTTAAAAAATTTATGCATACAGAACTGGGGTACAGGCCAGAGATGCAGGGGTGGTGAGAAGATTTACCAGAGACCAGTGTGGGGAGCAGAGCAGGCAGATTGACTGAAATGCACTGCTGAGGGGAGCAGTGGGCAGGACAGAGGAGATCTGCTGTCATGTGGGTCAGCTCCCCAGGATTGAACTCGAGCTGAAGCGGTTGTGGCCAGCTTCGCAGTGCTGTGCTTTAACCCGTTGCACCACCAGGGAGGGCCCAATCCTGACAGCCTTTCTGTCTGTATGACCACAGTCCAGTTTCCCAGCGCTTCTTTCCTGTTTCCAGATTTATAAAATAAGGATAAGAAGCCTTACCGAGAATGTTGACACAGAGATTAAGAGTAATGATACAACTCCCAGACCTGTATTCTAAAGAAATGAAGATATTTTTGTTGTACAGGCACATGCACAGATGTTTGTGGCAACTTTATTTGTAATAGAACTGGAAACCCAGATGTTGCCCAACAAGTTAATGACTCAACCGGCTGTGGTACATCCAGGCGCGGGCTGCTCCTCAGATAAAAAAGAATGAATGCTTGGTACTTGTAGCAGCCAGGATCTATGTGCAGGGAATTATGCTGAGTGAAAAAGCAGTTCCCAAAACTTACTTTACTATATAATGCCACTGATAAAACATGCTTAAAATGACAAGACTATAGAAATAAAGAACAGGTTGAGTGACTTCCAGGAGCTAAGAAAGGAGTGGAGAATAGAAGGGAAGTAGACTGGCCATAGAGGGCAACATGCAGAATCCTGGCAGGCAGTGGAGCTGTTCTCTGAAGTGACTGTACCCTGCTTAGGATACTGTCCTGTAAATCTGTGAGATGCTACCATGTGGCTATACAGTTACCTAAAGTGGAAAGCTTAATTAAAAACTAAAAAAACTAATAATGAATGTAAAGTGCCTGGCAAATACGTTCAATGTACTTCCCTCACCTCAATTTTCTTATATATATTATCTATCGCTAGTATTTCTTAAGCAGCTACCATACACCAGCTGCTCTGTTGTGTCCACTTTAATTCCTACAACAACAAAGTGTATACACACTCTCATCCCTGTTATGTCACTCTCAGTCAGGATAGATAGATTATACTATTGATACATAATGAATAAGCCCACAAATTTAAAAAATAGATTCATTTACATATCCAAGAATTGGGGGACAGGCCAGAGGTGTGGGGAATGAGAGGATTCAGCAGAGACAAAGTGGGGAGAAGAATAGGCAGATGGAAATCTACCGCTGAGGGGCCATGCCTTATGGGTCACCTCCTTGGCCGGGATCGAACTTGTGGTGTAGTGGCCACAGATGGCGGCACAGTGCTGCTCTTTTACCATTGTGCCACCAGGGACGGCCCTTAACCCACAAATTTTAACAATTTAAAACAACAAAAATTTCTTTTTTGCTTTTGCTTCATGTCCCTCATGCGTTGACTTGGCTGAAGGTGATCAGGCAGGAGGAGACTCCATCTTTGTGCTTCCTTGATTGTTGAAGCTGGCAAAGGGGAACATGGCAAGTTGTGTGCTAGCTTTTAATCTTTTTGCCCAAAAAAGATTGACTCAGATTTTGTTGGTTATGACAAGTCAGGTGGGCATTTATGTAAATGAGAGAGCTAGAAATGGTGTCTTACTGTACGCTTAGAACAAATATGTCAGTGAGCAGAGTTTATAGTTATAACTCAAACTCAAATCCATACTCTCTGGATTTTGGTTTTTGTTCTCAAGGGATTGTTGCAGAGATGAAAAATGTGAGACCCTATGAAAGGATTTAACATTGTTTCTGGCTTACAGTCAGTTCATCAAATATTAAAATTGAATCCTAAATATTGGTTAAAGTAGAAACAGGTTAAGCTTGTCTTCATTTTTTTTTAAGATTGATTTATTTATGCATACAGAACTGGGGTACAGGACAGAGGTGCAGGGGTGGCAAGAGGCTTCACCAGAGACAGAGTGGGGAGCAGAACAGGCAGATCGATGAAGTACACTGCTGAGGGGAGCAGCGGGTGGGTCAGGAGAGGTCTGCCACGCCATGTGGTTTCCTCCGGGGCAGGCGGGAATCGAACTCATGCAGAAGTGGCTTTAGCTTCTCAGTGCTGTGCTTTAACCCGCTGTGCCACCAGGGAGGGCCTGTCTTCATTTTTAAAAAAAATTTGAAATGCTTATATAGTTCTTTTCTTTAAAGATTTATTTATTTATGTATGCATATAGAACTGGGTACAGGCCAGAGGTGCAGGGGTGGTGAGAGGATTCACCAGAGACAGAGTGGGGGGCAGAGTAGGCAGATCAACAAAATACACTGCTGAGGGGAGCAGCGGGCAGGTCAGGAGAGGTCTGCTGCGCCATGTGGGTCAACTCTGGGGTCAGAGATTGAACTCGCACTGAAGTGGCTGCAGAGAGCTTGAAGTGCTGCACTTTAACCCGCTGTGCCACCAGGGAGGGCCATCTTCTTCATTCTTTTCTGGTTGGTTTGGCTAAAATGTCTCTTGGCGTCATGTGATACTCTGTTCTAGGAAGCTCTCACAGTTGCTAAGACCTTATGATTGTGCCCCTTGCTCCAGCCTCTATCCTCTGCAATCCATGTTCCATTGAATTTCTCAGAAACTTTTACTGTCATGTAGCATTACTGACTGATTTCAGATGGACTAACCTGTAGAGAGGATTTATTCAGTCTCTGGAGAGGAAACTGAGGCCCAGACATGCCTGAGAAGAGAGGGCTGGTCACAGCAGAGCCAGAACCAGAACTCACACTTGCCATGTCCTTCCTGTGCTTCTCACACAGGACTGATAAACTGGTCCTTGGTACCAAGTTATGCACTTTATTGACAGAGGAGTCAGCCATGTGATTTTTTTGGTTTCTTTTTTTTATAGTACTGAAGGTGAACAAGAGGAGACGTTGAAGGAGTCACCAAAAGAACTAAAAGAGAAAAACATGTATGGCCTTCAAAGGTTGCCTAAGCATGGGTTGGTTTGGGGAATAGTAGCTCCTTGTTGGAATGGTCTTCACATTCTTTAAAAAAAGATTTACTTATTTATGCATACAGAGGTGTAGGGGGTGAGAGGATTCACAGAAACAGAGTGGGGAGCAGAACAGGCAGATTGACTAAAATACACTGCTGAGGGGAGCAGAGGGCAAGACAGGAGAGGTCTGCTGCGCCATGGGGGTCACGTCTGGGGCCACGATTGAATTCATGCTGCAATGGCTGCCAATAGCTTGCACCACCAGGGATGCCCAAAGTTCTTCCCATTTTTATGTATACATTTAATGTGGGTGTGCTTATTCTCTCACATCAATTAAGCTGATGATGTGATCTATGAAAAGATCTTACTATGTTAATGTGATCTATAATTAACAGCATTTATAATCAAGGAAACACAGTAATAATAACAATACTAGTTTATACTTGAGACATTTATGTTTTCCACATAAACTTTCATTTATGAAAATTGTTCATTTTTAGTTTCAGAAATATGTTTAAAGAGAGGATTTCTTTGTAAAACATTATCTTTAAGATATATATATATATGACAAAATTAAGTATTTTGGGTTTTTAAAAACCATAAAATTGAGAAAATGGTCTCAAATGGTAAAAAGAGAAATGCATAGCAAAGAATAATGCAATAAAAGAAAACAACTATAAGATATTCACTGCTTCTGGCCTAATGTTAAATTAAGATTTTTGTCAAGATCATACTTCAAAAATAACTTCCAGAACATATTGTTTAATTTTTCTAAATATCTTCTCCTAACTCCTGTATGTTTTTAATACTTTAGCTCATTGACAGACATTCAAGACTTATCTAGTATCTCCTGTGAACAAGATGGTTCTTTCAAAGAAATCTCATGCAAAACACCTAAGATAAGGCATGCGCCAACTAATGTCAGCACTCCGCTTAGCCCAGGTAAGAGGAGCATTTGGAGTTTGAGCTTACAGCTCCTGCCTATTGACTGTGGAAGCCAGCTGGCTTTTGCTCCCAGTGCAGGGGTGTTACACGCGAGTACAAGCCCTGGGAGGCCAAATCGGGGGTGGTGGTGATTAAGCAGCTGTTGTGTGGCGTTTCACTTCAGTAGGGGAGACTCCCCAATGCAGGCTGTACTGTGTGCTCTAATCACGCCTGCAGTTAGTGCAAAGCTTAAGAGTCTCTAGTCTGTAAATTGTGTTTAAATAGATAGAGATTTGATCCCACAACCACATATAGTCAGCACCAAATTTCCTCTTTTAATGTCATTATTTTCAATAAGTTGTAGTTCGGATCATCTCCCTTTGTGTTGGTGGCAAAGTCTACAGTCTGTCATCTTTTATATCTGAAAAACTATGTCTCTGATTGGCGATTATTTTATTTATTAACAATTTAGAACCCTTGGTATAGGTATAAACATTTTGTTTTTAAATAATGTAAAGGATCCAGACTCTCACTACCCTCTTTTCTACAACAGGCTCCATTTCTTCCGCTGCTAGTAGGTACAAAGACTGCCTTGAAAGTGTCACTCTTCAGGTTAAAACAGGGTCTCCCTCCTTATGTGACAGTCAAGAATCTTTTCGAACTTGGCCTGATAAATTTACATCTGTTCGAGAGAAAGCCAAAAGTCTAGATTCCCTTCTTACATCCTCTGAAGCTTCCCCTTCAAGACTGCCCGATGTAAGTATTCTGACCTGTGTTATACAGATCTGGAAGCCCAGAGGTCTCACTGATCTAAAGTGCCAAGATTTCTCCAAATCCATTTTACAAAGAATGTAAGAAATACACTTTAATCTCTAGGCTTTCCGGGGCTCCCCTCTGAGCCTCTTACAGGATAGATCTTGGGTTTTAGACTTTCATTTCCCTTTCTCGCTCCTATATAATGCTTGACAGTGTATCTAAACAGCCCACTCTGTGATAGCTTATGGAACGTTCTGCTTCGTCTTTAAAGTCCTCTGAAAGTTTTGATTGACTGCACATTCTCTGACCTCCTGAACTAATAGTCTGCAGCAAAAACACATCATTATATTCTGCCTTCTCCTCTCTTCCCTCCTCCCCCACTGTACTTTTCTCCTCCCCCACCCCCACTCTGTATTTCATATGTGTAGTTTCTAAGAAAACAATATTAAGTTCCTTACTTATAAAAACCTGACTGTCCTGTGGACCACTTGATTACTTGCTTTAGACCGTAAGTAAAAATAGTCTTTCTGGCATTTGACTTACAAAAGTCTCTCTCTCAAATACAGAAGTAACAAAGAATTTTTGTGCCTTTAGCAACTGTTAGTTGGGCGGGTTCTAGGAACACAAGTGTGAAAACAAAAGACACAGTCCCTGCCCCACAGGGGCTCCTGGCCTAGTATGAAAGGCTGGGGTGTAACAGAGGTGTGCTGCAGCGGTCAAGAGGGGTAAGAAGGCTTCGCAGAAGGGTGATATTTTAAAAAATTTGACGCAAACCACAGTGACTTACTTTATCAGTGACATGCAAGCTTAACCTTTGAAATGATTGAGCCTCACAGACCTTTTTACTCAATAGATGTGTCAGTTACCATGTTTATATCTTGTAGAAAAGGTTGTCTGCACTTACCAGGACTGGTTCTTCTGTCATTGCAAAAGCACCTGACTCCTTAGGCCATGCCACCCAGAAAAGGAGCTTGCCAAAAGGTACTGTGTTTAGTATCTGAACACAAGTTCATTTTAGTGAGTTTGGAGCATATTTGATGCTGCTTTAGGTTCAAATGAAAATGCTGTTACCCTTTCCACCCCTCACTATAAAGATAAAATGTAGAAAACCTGGAAAATAATGAAGAGTTTAAAAACGAAAACCACCACTTAACCTTACTCTTTTTCATCCTCATGTACTTTTTTGTTACATGTATTTCTCATGCTTCTAGAAATGTGCATATATATTTTTAGCAGATATGAGATTATATGATAATCAGCTTGATCTGCTTCTTTTTGTTGATGATATATTTTTAGTATTTTCCCTTGTCATTAAAAACTACTTGCAAATATATGTAATGGCTACATAATAGCCCGTTCAACTTGGGTTACTTAACCATGACCTTAAATTGGAGATTTATATTGTTTTCTAATTTTTGCTCTTTGTAAAAAAATTTTTATCTGCACTTTTCTTCAGATAGATACTTAGAAGATAGTTTTGAAGTCAAAGAGTGTGTGTTAACAGTTCATGAGATATGCTGTGTTTGCTGCACTAATTTAAATATCTTATGTCTGTGATATAACTCTTAGAATTCCTGTCAGCAGATAGTAATTTTGTGAATTATGCTGAGGGTTTTCAGTTGACATTAGAATTGAGATCTTAGGGAAAGACCCAAAATATGGCCTCCATTTACCCTGGCCTGATAACCTATAATGAAAAGCTTCACCTCTTGTGGTTTTTATTCACTCTGAGGCCCTAGTCCAGATTGGTCCCCCAACCCCTTAGTGAGAGTTTTTACTTCACCTACTTCAAGTATCCTTGGGGATGGAAGGGTTCAGATCAAGCGGGACTGGGTTAAGGGATGATATAGGAAAGGGTTTGGGTCAGAGGGAGCTAAACCATTCACAGATCAGGTCTCAACTAGGAGTAATGATGATGTGAAAGGCTTTCTTCTCACCGTAGTTTGTTTCTGTGTTGAGAAACATTAAATCAAATCCATGTGGGAACCTAGAAAATCCGTAGTTTGTTTCGTCATGAACTCCTAAATCAAATCCATGTTGGAGCCTAGTCCAGGTGAGGTCCAGGAAGGTATTACGTCATTTTCCCCTTTATCTTTTTGAAGAACTAGTAGAAGCCATCTCACAGCATCACCTTGATGAGCTACCGCCACCACCCCAGGAGCTACTTGATGAAATCGGTAAGGGGTGTTCAGTATAGAAGATGCTTCCTGGCCCTGTTAGGGCTGGTCAGTGACCACAATGTGATTCCCTGTCTTAGGTGTGAGCGCTGGTACAAAAGTCCCTATGATGGTCTGATTGAATGTCTAGAACTCAGGGGAGTTTTCCAATAAAATGGACCTCAAAATTACTGTGGAAGCCTGGCCAAGATAATTGGCCTGTGTCTTTTGTCATTTTGTTACTTAAAGGAACTATAGTCATGATCCTAAGAGGAAATAACATTCAAGTGGTTTATTGTGATGAGCTTCTTTTATAATTATTAAGATTTATTTATTTATATATATAAGAATTGGGGTACAGGCCAGAGGTTTTTTTTGGTGGGGGGGGGCTGTGAAAGGATTCACCAGAGTCAAAGCGGGGAGCAGAACAGGCTGATTGACTAAAATCCACTGCTGAAGGGAGCAGCAGGCAGGTCAGTAGAGGTCTGTGTGCCATGTGGGTCACCTCCCTGGCCAGGAAGGGAACTTGTGCTGTAGTGGCTTCATTGTGCTGCACTTGAACCTGTTGTGCTACCAGGAAGGGCCCTGAACTTCTTTTATTATTAAAACAATTCTCATGTCTTCTGTTTGAGTCAAACCTGCATACTTTGGAGGTCTTAAGTCTGGCTACTCAGACCAAAGCACTGTTAGACATGCTTGCCGCTAGAGGAGGTATTAAAGATAATGGCACACTGATGCTTCCCTTTCAAAAGAGCGTAAAACCTAACGAGACCACAGTTTTCCATTTCAGGCAGAGATGAGTTGTAGCCAGTTCACTTTTAGTTGCAGCTGATGGTCTGGCCCTGCTCAGCAGAACTGATGCTGAAATTAAATGATGCATGGTTACAGAGACATTTGGGGCTGGTGGTTTGCAGGAAAGACCTGAGTCCTCTTCTTGATGGCCTCATCAGCCAATCCCAGACCCACAGAGTGTGTATTTCATCAAATGTTAATGGTCCAGCTCTTCGTATGGGAACTCTAGAGAATTTCTTGAGGTACAGGGTTATCAGGGTCTCTGAGGTTTTGTCTCTCGTCAGGAGGTGGGAGGTGAGTGGGGACTTACCGTTCTGAATCAGTAGACGCTGCTTTCTAGGCTAGCCCACATGGCTGCTTGTGGTGCTCGGTGTCATCTGTTCCTCGGCCATGATTTAATTGGTGCTTGTAGGTCCATGTGTAGCTTGACCCTAGTGTTACTTCCATTGGATTCTGCTGTCCTTTCTGCACTTATGGTGGGAGCCTCCCATTCAAACTGTTACCTCGTGGTACTGCTGGACTCCAGCAGGTCCTGTGGAAACCCTTATTTTACTTATGGGTGTTATCAGGGCTGGATTTGGAGGTGATGTCTGTACTTCGAGATGGGTCACTAGGGCACTTGAGTAGTCTCTCCTAATAATGGCCCCTTGCTTGCCATTATGTAATAGCGCTGTGCTGCCGTTTCCCCTGAAGCAAGCAGCGGGGAGTGGCCTGGAGCCGACAGTTGCCCTTTGGAGGCTCCACATGTGATGCTGTTGGCTTCTGACAAAGGCCTAAGGAGGAGGGTTCTTTAGCATCTTAGGATATAGGCGATTCATGAAGATCAACAAGGACACAAGTTGTTACTATTTTTTAATTTCAAATGACATGAAATGCTTTTACAAGGAGCTGCCAGGTGTGCCTGCTTCCTTACCTGCAGGGAGGGAGAGACTGCACTTACACCACCGTGCTGCCCGGCAAGCCCAGGTTTCCTGTCTGTGCACTGTGCAGCTATCTTTTGCTCTGTTTCGCTCTCTCTGGGAGCATTTTAAGAAGATTAAGTATCTAACAGATGCTGAGCAGTCTATTGAGTTTAAGTGTTGCTTGTCTTGGACTAGTGAGTAATTCTTTGGGAACTGGCAATCCCTTCTGTGTTTAGGTAGATTAGATAAGAAATATGCAGTATAGGCCAATAAAAGTGGGGGACATTTTGAACTATGACAAACTTGATGGGAGGGTCTAAAATAGAGATTTTAAGAGCATAAACCTTAGGCCTTCCTGGTAGCCTACGGGTTAAGTCCCAGCACTACTACCAATATGGCCTGAGTTCGATCCCTGGCCTGGCAGGTGACCCACAGGGTGCAACAGACCTCTCTTGTCTCCCCGCTGCTCCCCTCAGCAGTGGATTTCAGTCATTCTGCCTTTTCTGCTCCCCACTCTGTCTCTGGTAAACCTCTCACCAGTTGTACCTCTGGCCTACACTGAAGACCTCCTATACAAAATAATAAAAGTAAATTAATAAGTAAAAAAAAAGATAATGAAAATGACACACACACAAAGAAGAGTCATACTCTTTAGAGCCAGACTGGATTAAAGCCCCAATTCTGTGTCTTACTATCTTTGTGGTTGTAGGCTAGGTTCCTAATCTTTCTTTACCTTCATTTCCTCATTTGATAAACAGGGATAACAGTAACACAGTTGATCCTGTCGTGAAGATTGCTGTATGTCACTTAGACGAGGCACCTGTGACATAGGTTCTGTCACTGTTGCCTGTCATCATTTTATTTTTTATTTTAGTGTTGCATGGGATTTTGTCATACTTAAGGAATTCTTTAAACACAGAATGCCTTAAAGCAGTGGTCCTCCCTCAAATCTTTTAAGAAATCAGAATTACCTGGAAGACATGTTAAAACACAGATTACTGGACTCCAAGCCCAGAGTTTCTGGTTCAGTAACAAACCTAGGGTGTCTGGGACGAGACCCCAGGGTTTGCCTGTCTAACAACTTAGGTTATGCAGGTGCTGCTGGTCCACTGAGGACCACTCTGAGAATCATTGTCCTAGAGAAGGGGCAGAGGAGAGGAGGAAATGTGTTGCCTTCTGTTTTGTGACAGAGCACTTGAAGCAGCCGCAAGTCCCGTACGCCGTGTTGGATGGGAACACAGTGAGGCATCTGGACATCCCAGCAAGCGGTAAGCTGAAACCACCCAGGTCTCCTCCAGTGTAGCTTTCATGCTAGCTGGGCAGCACAGGGGCTCACATAGCGGGGTGGGAGGGTGTGGACCTGAAGTAGCTATAACTTTCCCTCAATTCTGACTCCTCTACTTACTTTGGATGGCAGACTTTAATGAATGTGACCCCCAGTCACCCTCATCATAGGCAGGGAGGGTAATTCCTGCCTCATGATGTACATAATAGCTCCATGCATGGTGCCTCTTACGCTAGGAGATACTTACCAAATGTTAGTTCCCTTCCCTTTGGAGGACTGCTAACAGGATGGAACGAGATAGCAGCTGTAAGATGCCTGGCATATATTAAAGGGCACCATCCTGCCCCGCCTGGGTTCCTCTCTGGAAACATCTGACAAGTCAGAACAGGATGGTCGGCCAGAGTCAATTTGTGCGATATGTTTCAGGTTCTCTTGCCTCCTCTTTACGTGCCCTTCTTTGCTCTGCTTTCTCTGGCTCTCGAGCCTTGGCACAGACAAGGTGTCCTGTAGCTTCTTCTGGCAGCAGAGAGCTCCCGAGACCCCAGAAGCAGCTGCTGTGCATACAGGCGCCCCGCAGACTGCCACCTGGCCCCTGCTCGCCTGGGAGGAGGGGAACTAGTGCCTTGCTTACTTCAGGGACCACTGATTAGCCTTCATTTTTTGCGTTTTAAGGCTTTTTCAGTAGTTTCCTGTGGCTCTAATCAGGCTAAGTCTTTCACCTGTATTTAGATCAAAGGCACTTAGAAGAACAAGAAACTAAAAGTAAGAGAGAAGATATCAGTGTGCTTTGGACCAGAGAAACTCAGGATTTAGAAGAGGACACAGAGAGGTAATAGAAAAGTTGACTTTTAAAAGAATTCTTAAAACTCTATTAGTTTGTAAGTTTTTTCTAATGTTGACAAATTAGATATTTCCTCTGGTGTTTTCTGTATTGTCCTAATAGCCCCCTTTTCTAAAAGGTTTTATTGTTTCATTTAAAAATTTTAAATTGTGATGAAATACACATAACATGAAATTACTGCTTTAACAGTTTTTAAGTGTACAGTTCAGCAGGGTTGAGTATATTTAATGTTGTACAACCATCTCCTGAGCTTCATCTTGCAAAACTGAAACTATACCCACTGAGTAGTTCCCTTTTCCCCCTTCTCTGTCCTTATAAACCATCATCTACTGTCGATTTCTATGACTTTGACTGTTTTTGACATCTCATATAAGAGAAACCACACAGTATTTGTCTTTTGGTAGTAGCTTATTACGCTTAGTGTATTATCTTCAAGGTTTGTCAGTGTGATGTATTTTAGAGTTTCTTCCTTTTTGAGGCTGAATTCCATTGTGTGTGTGTGTGAGAGTGAGCGAGCGAGCGCAAGAGAGAGCGCACGAGCGCACTTCTTATTTATCTATCCACCTGTTGGTGGACACTGGGTTGCTTCCACCTTTTGACTGCTGTGAGAATACTGCTGAGAACACGGGCCAACAACTACTTGCAGACACTCTGCTTCCAGCCTTTCTAGATATGTACCCAGACGTATTGCTGGATCATATGGTGAATCTATTTTTAATTTTCTGAGGAAATACCATACTGTTTTCCACAGCAGCTGCATCATTTTACATTCCCACCAACAATGCATAGGGTTCCAAATTCTTCACATCCTAGCCAAAACAGAAACAAATTTCTGTTTCCTTGACAGCAGCCATCCTGAAGGTATGAGTGACATCTCACTGCGGTTTTGATTTGCATTTCCCAAATGACTAATGTTGTCCAAACATGTTTTTATATGTTCAGTAGCCATTGGACAGATATCTTTTCAAATCCTTTGGGTATCTTTGGACAAATATCTATTCAGATTCTTTGCTCATTTTTCATAGGATTATTGTTTTGTCAATTTTTTTGTTTTACGTTATTTTTTTCCTAAGCAAAGACTAGTCTCAACTTACTTTAATTAAAGGCCTGAGAAGAGAGTTTTTAGGTATTAGCAAATAAGGGAAAACGGGGCAGTCATCCAGACAGTTCAATCTAAAAACACAGGATTGCCTCAAGAAATCTGATTCTTCTCCTGATTTGGAGCTCTCCTCTGATTTGTGTTGTAAGGTAAGTCACTCTGGCTCTCTCCTTTGCCTCCTGACTGCTCGTACTTTGCCCTCACTGTCATTCAGAGTCCAGACTGGGGTGAGATGAGAGAGACCACTCTTTGAGCACAATGTTGGAGGGCACACCAAAGACCACAGGAGTCAAAATTGAACCGTCTCAATGCAATTTCAAAAATATCAGTCACTGCAGAAAAATCCATGATGAGCAAAGCAACAAAATTTTAGATAGGATCTGAGTCTGCACTTAACGCTACTTGCTCTATCCTAACCCTGGCCCTGTGCATCCTGGGGGAAGCCCCTCGGAATGTTTTTAGCTGCAAAAGATAGGAAATTCCTCCACTGTGTTTAAATGAGTAGTGGCCTCATAGGTGTTGAGGCTTTGTGTCGGGGTTACAGGAGGGCTTTGGTGTACGTATCCGTTGGATCGAACCATATGGCCCTCTGCAGGTCTGTATAACCTCTACAGATTAGTAACCTATCTGGTTTTCTCACATGCAGAGTGAAAGCACAGGTCCTTCCCCACATTAAAGTGCTATGCGTCTGTGTCTGGGAAAGAGGGAAATGACTGTGGTCTCAACTCTGTCCTCTTTCCTCTGGACAGAGCTCACTCGACTCTTGATGAGGACCTGGAAAGATGGCTGCAGCCCCATGAGGACAACGTGGCAGTACAGGATCTCCCCAAAGGTTCTGCAAGGTTAATCAGGGTGTCATTTTTTTCTTTTCCAGGAAGGGAGAGGTTCAATTCAAACAAACAAACAAACAAACAAAAAACTAAGCTGGGCGGCCCTGGTGGTGCAAGGGGGAAGACTTAGCATTTTGAAGCCATCAGCAGCCATTGTAGTGCCATGTGATCCCGAACAGGGAGCTGACCCACATGGCGCAGCATATTTCTTCTGTCTCTCCTGCTGCTCCCCTCAGCAGTGTACTTCAGTCAGTCTGTGTGTTCTGCTCCCCACTGTCTCCGGTGAATCCTCTCACCCCTTCTTTACCCCCATACTTCTGGCGTTTACTCCAGGTCTTGTATGCATAAATAAAAAATACCTAAACTCCTCAGAGAATGCATGTCAGCTGATGTCATTAAACTGCTGTAGAGAAGCTTGACTCCTGTCTACACTCTCCCACCTCTCTTCTGCCAGCAACCCATCGTGCTACAATACTGACTAAAGATTGATAGCATTCAAGACAGCCTCTAAGATTGCTGTATTTTAGCACTGTCACCTTCAGCATTTTCATCCGTCATTTGAGTTAAATCCACTGAAAAAGTCAAAGCCTGGTTGTCAAGTTTTTACATAACACAAACCTAAGAGTATTGTGGGTGACAGATTCCAAAAGATCAAGTGGACAAGTGGAAATGTTGGACTCCTCTAAAAGACGAAGGTGAACATTTAGATCCAAAAGTATAGAATGCAAGAGATCTCATCCACTGGAGAATTTTTGATTGGAAGTTCCAACTCACTGTAATGGCATTGAAGGCAGGAAGTATGTCTTATTTTTGTAGACCCGCACATAGCAGCATTCTGAGAGGGAAGAATTCAGGAAATTCTTCTTGAAGGAGGCATGGACAGTGAATCTTTGAAGTCTCAGTTTGATGCAGGTCAAGGCAGCATTAATGCTGAACAGAAAGAAATGTTCAGTCCAAACGAAGGTGATGTCTCACATTGGTAAGAGGACTCCTGGGGCACAGCCTGGGGCTCCCGTTTGGATGTTACATTTTAAAAGGGACATTTACAAACAGAAGAGGGTTGCATCATAACAGGCAGAGATACGGAAGCCATGTCATATGAGAACAGTGGGAGGAGTGGGGGCGGGGGGCTGGGCCAGAGAAGAGCAGATGGAATAGAGAATTTGATAGCTGCCTTCAAATACCTGAAATACTATAAAGTGAAGAGTCAGCTTATTCTGTTCTGCCCCAAAAGGACAGAGTTGGCAACTAGAAACTGTAAAGTAAGAGATTTTTATTCAGTAAAGCACTAGCTTTGTAATAGCCATAACTGCTAGGGAAATGGCTCTATTTCCATTTACTTTTTTTTTTTTTTTTAAAGATTTATTTATTT